GACCAGATCGGTGAAAAATTCTGTACATTCTCTGAGGCATTTATTCCCATCTATGTTGTAGTTTTCAGGTTCTGTAGAAAAATCCAAATAGTAACTGCAGATTTCACATTGGGAAAAAATAAATATATTTCACTCATTTAAAAAAAATATCACAGTAGGAAAATAGCCAGTAAACAATAGATTCAGAGAGGTTTAATCTTGGCCCCAGTGAGATCAATGGGAGTTTTGCCAAGGATTTCATAAAAGCCAAAATTTCACCCAGAATCATACAATTCTTTAGCTGACAACAATCATAAACATCCTGCCACTCCATTGTATAAGTTAAATATTAATAAGCATCTGTAAACATCCTGAAATTCATCTGATATAAAAAATACTATAATAAAAACAATGCAGCATCTCAAGCACTGTATAGTTTTAAGTTTTTTTTGGCTCTACACACAAGTTGGCATCATTATATTGGGCAAAACCAGGGTATGTATATACAAATATATGTACAGGTGTGCTTGCACATACACCCTGCAAACTAGATACTACATATCCACACACATCCACGCGCAAATACTGGCAAGAGAACAACATTCATAGGTGTGGCATTTAAAAGTCTAGCAATGATCAATCTGATGATCGGTTTTATGAGAGGAGCAATTTCCCCCTAGCCAAATCACCTGTAGGCTTACATGTAAAGGCTAAAATTGAAATACATGAACAAGCTTCAAGGAGGACTAAAGTACTGTTTAAAGACAAGCACATGCCTAAGTCCCAACAGATGTTTGCAAAGATGATGAATTTTCTCATGGAGTGAACAGGAACAAGGGGAAAGAAAGGGCAGAAACTACTGAGTGCACAACAACTTTTATCTAAACCAGTACGAATCAAGTTATATGTTTTCCTTTTCACTGAATTGGAAATCACATGTTTCAGCTTTTTGCTACAAACTGCTATTCAGACCCAAATATATGAGTTAGGCAGAAAATTAGGTCTCTGCAAGACTTCCACATGCACTTTATCCATTCACTCATGCACATTAAGTGGATGTTATTATAGAATTAACTAACAGTTGTACTTGACTAGAATACTAGCTCAACTTACAAGCCTGGCTAATGACAGAAACCACTCATGTTGGGTTGGAATCCTCTCAGAACCTTTAGACTACCTTTAGATGAAATCTACCTCTTTCAAATGCCAGAACATACACTAAAAATACATTCATGCAATTCCATAGTGCTTGACATTTAAAGATACCTGCTCTAGACATACAGATGTGATAGTGAGAAGTTTGTTAGTACTAACTAATATGTTTGCAAGCACTGTGAATTAAGAGAAGTAGCTGCTAGTATTGGATGATATGAAATTATTTGTGTGCAGTGACAGCAACAAAGAAGGACCTGAGGTGAGGTGCAGAGATCAGGCCCTCTTCACCTTTCAGAAGCACTTCAACAGCTTGTACTCTTTTATGTACAAATCTCATCTATTGCATATCTCGTCTGTCACTGCAAATATTACCTTGCCCTTTGATGATCCCCTCAACATACATAAATTACTAAGGTAACTGGCAGTTCTAGGGAGGTCCCATGTTTCAGTTCTTTTAGAATTGTAAGGATATAGTGTAAAAGGGTGGCTAATGAAACAAATTATTTCAGGACAGGTTCCCCAGCTGTGCTCCTTGAGGGGAAAAATTGTTATTTTTGTCATATATGGACAACTGCATTTTTCAAGGTGCACAATTTAAGGAGACAGTAAACCAGGACAGAAAGTACAGACACCACAAGTGACAGATGCCTGTAGAAAATCCTCTGGAATCTGGCTAAGCGGTACAGTCCAAATGCCTATTTCAATAGATAAAGATGGCATCTTGTGAGAGGAGAGTGCTACTCCTAGGTTCCTAACCTTCACAGTATCTGCACGCCTGTGTGCTGGTTGTAAACCTTCCTAAACTGTCCAAGTGGAAAATCTTGTACCCTTAAAATTCTCATTAAGAGGCCCTAGACTCTACTCGTCAGCACACGTGCTCTCCCTCACTGAAAATCAAGACCAAGCAGCTTCGAACAGCTTTCCTCAACCTCCCCATTCACAAAATAATTGACTGTGACTGCAAAGAGAATTTAGTCCCAAACAGAGCTTACTTCAACAAACAGCGGGAGAAAAACATAGTTATAACTCCTTCCCTGTTAATGACGTTGTCAGGTTATTAATTAAATTAAAATGGTTTTTATCTAATTAATACTTCAGTTTAATAAAATTGGGAGTTCAAATGGTAATTCTCTTTCAATAGTCATAGTAGGGATTTGGGGCACTGTGGAGATTTTATTTTTGGCTTTTCACACAGTTTCCATAAAAGAAAAAAACTATCTAATTTTACTTTTAGTTTATTTCTTCCTGTTTTCACCCTCCAGTTCACATGCTCTCATACAGTTATACCTGGATCAAACAGAGCTTCCTAAAACAGTTGATTCCAATGATTTTGGAAAAAATTAATTCCAAATTACTTTAAACATTGTACCATATTGCTTTTAGCTTCAGGAGCTGTTCAATCCTAACACTAGTCTTTGAATCATATTATAAATAGATTTTTCCAAAGTATTTGTTCCATAGAATAAAACATTGATTGGTCACTTGCATACTTGTCCTACTAATAGCTACCATAATTTTTATTATTTTCAGTAGTCTTACACAGCCTGTAGAGTTAGCCAAAACACTTCTCTTTCCAAGGGCATTCCAGTAGTTAGTGTAATCATTAGAGAGAGCTTTCAGCAGGGATTGCAAGAGTATAACTTAAAGGATTTTAGCCCACCATTGCTATGGTACCCTTTGGAGCCTGAAGCCTTGGTCAGTCTTGATCTTGGAGCACCCTACAACTTTTTCCTAGCCTGCCTGTACAGCTCTTCTGAACGGAAACAGTAGAGAGACATGCAAGGATCTCAGCTTGCCAAGAAGCTGGGATGTCATCCAGACACAGAAGCTGGGAAGCAGCATGAGAACATTAGTAAAGACATGACCGGAGTTAAACATAGATTACGCACCAGCTGCTTCTGCCCTCACTAATATAAGCAATAGGTTATATGAACTCAAAATCCCATCAAAGAGCTTATCAAGTTTTTGTCAACTGGGAGACAAGGTCTTGAATTATTTAAAATAGATGTTTCTACCATGTACATTTATGAATTTTCTGTTGACTGCTCTGAGGTAGGTCTTTAACCGCTACAGCTAAACTGACTACAATTTGTCCAGGAATGCTTTTGGGTCTGTATTCATCAGCATTTTGCTAGGTTGCAAAAGTCTTAACAGTGCTAATATTTTATTATTTATATATGATGAGGGAGTGACATTTTAAGTTTAATTCCATGGACTGAAAAAAACTACAAACCCTTCAAAATATTTTTTTTCAGTCAAAATATTAAGGGCAATCACTATTAAGCCTACAGAAGTTGCTATGAATTTTGGTATTAGCTCCAACTGGCTACAGAAATAGTCTTCTGAAAGTCTCCAGATGGCTTCCAAATGGATTATAATTTCTGAGAAACAGACTGGGCTTCTGTATGGCAGAAATGAGCATTTCAAGTACATAAACTAACACTTAACAGAGCTATTAAACCTAATGCAACAGTAGTAGAAAACAACCAGAAATTTTTTCTAGTTTTTCTTTTTTTTCCTTTTGTAAAAAAGATCAAGTTCCACACAATATTCTACATATAAATACAGGAATTCAAACAACCAGTAAAGATTTTCTACTGATAATTACCAAATGATGTTTTATCAATCCCACTGACGCTACCACTCATCTCTGAAGAGGCAGCAGAGATATTTTAAATCCTGTTCAAACTCTTCAGCTTCCTCAAGTCATCAAAAACTCATTCCTTTACCTAAGACAGCAACACAGTCATGTACAGTTCCTGCAAACATTAAATCTTCGCAGTTAGAATAAGCAGCATCAAACCTTGAAAATCATGGTATGAAAATCATACCACAAAACATACAACTCATGAAAACAGAATAAAAAATATGGGAGAGCTGCAGTTGAGAGGTACATATATTATCAGGGTGAAAAAATAAATTTAGAATTACTCATATAATTCTTTGTGGCTCGCACTTACTCATATGAGTGACGTGATCATTTCCTGTAAGTTAAATAAATTGCTCCAGCTCGGTTATCCTCAACAATCTACATCTCATGTGACTTGACCTTTCACAAAGACTTTTTGCACTACTAATTATTAGTTACCAGAACTGTTGAACTTATGTGCAAGAACTTAATACTTAGGGGCACAGAGACAGAACTGCAGAAACAGTAATAAACATTAGTAATGCAATCATTAATAGGAAGTATAAAGCAAAATGGAATCACTGCGGGGCTTTTTGTCTTACATGTCCCCTGTGGAATTATAGCTATGGATAATATCTAGTTTTACAACTGCTTTTACAGTAGGACTACGGAACATCCTCTCATGTTTGCTTTATATATTAATTTTCCATTATGTGTGAAAAAGGTTTCTCCTGCAAGTCTTCCCAAAATGAAGACCAGATGCATTGAAAAACACTGATAATTTTAGCCTTGAAATAAGATCTGTTAATTATCAAGGCATTATGAAATTTTTATTAAGTGAATTAGCATTGCTGAGTTCAATTAAAAAGTAAAATTGGCAGGTTATCTATTTCTCTACAAAAAGAATAGGAAAATATGAAATGGACTTTTATTTAAAAAAAATCAATTCCTCTCATTTGAATTACAGTTATACAACATTGCAGTATGAATTTCTTTGGGCAGGGAAAGAGAGATAAAGATGATTTCTATTTATTATTTACAGGACTAAGCATGTTTGCTCCAGTCCCAAAACAAGAAATACTGGATTGAGATAGTCTGGGAGGGGTTTTGATCATACGCTTTTCATTCTACTGCTCTTCCAAGTTTAAAATACTTTTCTTTGAAAGAAAGAGACATGTAGGAGAAAAAAAAAGAGTGGTTAAGGAAAAATACATAAAATACAAGAAAATTTGCACTTCCCATTATATAAGAAAAACTAATTTTTGTTTTTCTTTAAAGTATTGTAAAAAATCCCCAACACCTACAACCACAAGTTTGCTTGACTTCATTCCATTTCTAAGAAGAAGGTATTAGGCATTACAAAGGCAAAATTTGCATGACCCAAATCAGAAGTTGCTACGGCAATTGAATCCAGTGAACTGGGAAAATACTATTTGAAAATGACAAAACAGAAACATGCATTTTGTAACCTGCTGCCATTTTAAAACATGCATTTCTCATCTTCCCCTCTCTGAGATGTTGAGCTTTTCATCTATATGAATATCATCATCCACTCCAAAAAAATTCAGATTACTCTGTATTCCTTTCATATTTTAACATATGCTGACTGACCACATAAATCACATGTATTTACCTAGCAGGAAAAAAATTTCACCCAGTAAACTTTGTATAGTGATAGTCTTCATAAATCTAGCATGCTAAATCAGGCTTCACAAGATCTATTATGATAACTTGTTTTCTAAACAACTAACTGCTTTTAGGGATGTGTTTACCTTAGTTCTGTTGAAATACTGGGATGCATGCTTTGAAGCATTTTTAACATCAAGATTAAATTAGAAAGAATACCGTTCATTAAAATATGTAGCTATTTATGTTCTTAGTTCTAGGAGCTGGAACTTTTACAGCAGTAGGGAAAAAACCCAATACTTGGAAATTAGAATAATCATGAGAGAGTAACACTGTGTCTTTAGAAAAGCCACAGTTGTGTCTTTAGAAAACACAATTAAAATCCATGACCTCAGCAGAGAACCCCCATTAAATATTTTGAGCCTCCCTGTCAGATGCATTTGCACTTCATAGCCAACACAAGTCTAAGGCATAGAGTTGCATAAAATTTGCTCTCCTGGGCATCTAATAAATACAGCATAAATGATGCAGTTTTTTTTTTTCTACTCATGCATTAAAAAAGACCTGCTTAGGACAATCAAAGTTAAATTCTTTGGTGGTCATTTAGAAAAATGAACTATACATAGATCATTGATCAGTTGTCCTATACTGAGGTAATTTGAGGAGTGTCATAAGAAAGTTGTTACAAACAACATTTGCCCATTTTCCTTGCCTAAAAGCAGCTCCCATTTTTTAAGATACTCAGCATACACTTCTACAGTGACCTGAAGAGATCCTGTTCCATAGCCTGTCTTAATGCATTGCACATAGCAAGGCTGAAAGTTGTAAAGAAATCACATCCTACAATCAGGAAAGCAAAGGAAGTTCTTCTATATATTATGTCCTTGAATTGACCAGGAAGATTAACTACGTAGTCTACTGTAACGTCAATATACTAGAATGCTGCCACACATTAAAATACAGTAAGCATATGGAGAACCAAAGAGAAAAGGAAATAAAACTCATGAAGACTTGACAGATGACATCTGAACATCCTTAAATGGGTGAATATCAAGTACATCAAAATAAAAAAAACCAACAAAAAAAACCCAAACAAAAAAACCCCCCACAAACTTGCCATCGTTTACATAACTTTCCATTTTTTGCATATGATTTTCATACAACACCATGAAAATCATATCATTTGGCAAAAGCATTTTGGTTTGTTTTTTATGGAAAACATAACAGAACATAGCTTTTTACTTTTGTTTGTTTACCAGAATAGTTATATACACAGAGATCCCAGAGTGGTGCCTGCTGAACCTACAGCAGCAAGAGCACAAAAAAATACAGTTGGATATAAATTAAGCCTGTTTTGCTCCTTTTGATTTTTTTTCCCATAAAACAATGAGGAGACTAGATTTTACTTTCCAGGGGATGGGTCCTGTCTACTTGCCAAGGACCAAGTCTAAGCATTTGCATGAGAAGTGGAGGGCAAAACCAGGATGCAGTACTTGACATTGGCCCCTTTATACAGAGGAAATAAGCTTTGGCAAAAAACAAATGAAACATTACTCATGAGGAAAACAGACATAGATATTAAGATACTCTTTAACGTGCAAGAAACATTAAAGCTACTCAATTAAGTAAAAGTCAAGTGTGCTCCTTGTGCTGAAATGACACATTGCTAGGAACAGCAAGGAGACAGCAATTCTGTGCAACTTTTCTGTCAGGTGGTGCAATGTCATCTCACCTCAAAAATCTAAGTAGGATTTTTTTTGGAGATATCTGAAAATTATTTTTCTACTGGATTAATACTTCTGTGAAAAATTAACCAGGAAATTCAATTATGAACCTATGTTTCATTTAAGTAAACTGTAAATAACCTTACAAACTCTGGTCTAGCGCAATTTCTAAACAAACATTGTTTTCATTTTTTTAAGCTGTTTACTCTCATGGATTACTGTCTTACATGTGATTCATCTTAGCATGCATAGTGTAAAACCTTAAGAGTTCGGATTTTCCTAATTTTTTTATGGTCTACTGATGTAGGAGTGCTGTCAAGAAACAAACTGATGCCTTTTTAAAGAAATGCACAGATGTGTTTTTAAATTAATAGTTAATTAGTAATGAGTAAAAGCTTACCCCACAAAAATCAAATCAGCTGCTACATTTTAAATCTCTTTGTATGTATGATAAATAAAATTAAATTTTCTGGTAAAAAATTTCATTAGTCTTTTAACCTGCTTTTTGAACAATACAGTAAATAAAACCATTAGTGCCTAAAAGTTCAAATATGCTACAGATGTTTAAGACAACTGAATAACTATATTAAAATGCACCATGAGAAAATTTATTATCATTTTCCATGCAGGAAGCCAATTGATATTTTTGTGAGGTACCGGTCTTTCAAAAATTCTCATAAGTTAGTTACCTGATAAACCTTCTGTACATGATATATTTAAAAATCTAACTGTACAGTATTTCAATCATATATAATCTGCTGAATATGGCATAAATGCTAAGTTTCCACACCCTTTGCCGTAGAACACATTTTAGGCAAAACACAACACTGAGGAATAGAAAGTGCCTGAAACTGAAAAAAAAAATAAAATAAAGACACTCAAGTAGTAATAAATTAAATCTCATTCAAACTGATATAAAAGTTGTTCAAGTGTTTAAAGTATCAGATGTGTCATGCAACAGAACAACAGACAATTCAGGCAGGCACACCATGCATTATAGTTTGCATTCATGGTATCACAAGGTGTCTTCTCCCTTCTGTGTGGCCAGCAAGTGCTGGATACCTGCGGCACTGCCAGGCACACGTGTTGAACCTTCAAAACCTCTTGGTCTCCTGCACAGGAGGTTTTACGAAGCTGTGCCTCGGAAGGATAACTGGATGACCTCATGCTGTACAGTGGCATCTTGCTGCAGCATAAAGAGAGGCATACTGAGCTGCATGTAAGCAAAGCAATCATTTCTTGATTATATTTTCCAGTCAGTGCAGTTCACCACCAACCAATCGATTTACCAAACTGGGCTTATCCAAACTGGCCAATCTGCACATCAAGAAAATGTCTTCGCAGAACATATCATCTTTTCCTTTTTTTTTTTATTTTGGCACAAATCCTTTCATACTCTTGCAGCAAGTTCTTCACCACACAAGAATTCAGAGATGCTAACCTGTACAAACACCAGTGCTTCTTCTTCCATAGAGTAAACTAAAAAGACAGCTAAGTGCCTGCAACAGCTCTGCTTCTCCAGCAACTTTCCCTTCTCCCTCTAAGGAAAGCACCAGCATAATTACACTTCAGACAAAGGGGTGTTCTTGCCGAGCTCTTTAATTCCCTGGAGAATTCGCTTCATATGACCCACTTTCGTTATCCCCAGGTCCTACAGAAATGTAAACAAACAAACAAAAAAAAAAAAAGAAAGGAAATTAAGGAAGTTTATTTACAAAAATTGAAAAAACCCCTCATTGATTATGATCTATCTATGCAACAGATGTCTAGAAACATGCTCATTGCAATCTACAGTAACCAGAAAGTGTTAGCAAGTGTTGCCTAACAAAAAAAAACTGCTTAGAGCATACAATGAATCCCTCTCTGTCTTGCAGACCAAAAATTACTTACCTGCACTACCGACAACACAAGGCACCCCAATATATATAAAACATCTCTGACTTGACTTCTAAACACAAAACCCTTCACAATTTCTGGCAAAAAAGAACAATCTCCCCCTCCTCTCTAATACAGCAATCAAATGCTTGGTGGGATGTGATGGATTAGAGCTTCTGTCCAGCAATGTCACTTGATCTCAGGCCCTATGATGTCTGCTTTAATCAACAAACACACGTATCCCCAGTTTCTTAAGGGAAAGTGGATGTAATGGCTATAGATATGTAGGACAACTTCCCTTTAGAGAGCAATAGAAAAGGTAAGCATTTGTTTTTCATTCCAAAAAGGTTCCATTTGCTAACATGGATCTTCCTGATTAGAGAGCTGGAAGAAAAATTCTCAAAGACATGACAGTCACATCTCAAAGGAAAATGTAAAAAGCACAAGAGTAAATCTCCTTGTAGTGACCACTAAATCAATTCACTTCAACTGAAATGTTTCTATTATTGGTTTCTGGGACCCATCTCAGTATGAGACAATAGACAGGATTTTTTGCAGCAAACTTCTTCCAGTATGAGTAACAGCTTTAGCAGCATCCTTTTTCAATTTTGACTGGTCCAATGGTCAGAGGAGCAGAACGGGATGCCCAGCTGTGCTAATGATTGCCCACTGCACTAATGAATTTTCAGCTCAGTTTGGTGGAAATCTGCTTCCCTTATCTGTAAAACCCAGCTCTAAAAAAGTCTTTAAAATCCTTGTGTCAGTGATGTTGAGCAATTGGCAGAATCAAACACTAGTTATTTGTAGAATAAACCTTATATAAATAGATAGTGATTAAATAAATTAAAAAAAAACTCAGAAAAGTTTCACCATCTATTTTTCTGAAATAGAAATCCTTTCATTTTAATAGGAAGATTTTTCCATTTCAAAGACATTAAAAGGAAAGGAGCGTAATTAGGCAGCTTGAAAACATTAGTCTCATACAGAGTGGATAATGAAACCATATATATTTTTCTACATACACTCTACACAAAGCCTGTATCTACCTTCTTACAGCCACAAAAAACTCAGAAAATCTGTATTTTATACTGCTTAAAATTAGCGTGCAATTAATTTTGGAAGAAAGGAAGAATGGGGTGGTAAGATGGGCACGAATTAATTACTTGACTATAAAGGTAGCACAGCCAAGATTAAACAGATGGATTAATTTTCACAGAGTCAAGACTGAATCCTGGTTATATTAGAAATGAAAAATACTTGGTTGTTTCTTCAGCTGAAAATTATCAGCACTATAAATACATGATCACCCTTTACAGCACTTTGGCATAAAGGTGTCAGCATTAAAGAGTTCAAGATATGTTCATAAAAGTCCTCAAATCAAGTGGTGTTCATAAACCTATCTGAAAAAACCTCCTAATTTTACACATCACATCAATTTATATTTTATTTTTGCTAATAGTCGTCTCACTTATAAATGTGGTACTAATTTTTAAGAGAATTAATGTAGGTAGTAATGAAATTCATCCCAAATTGACAGCAATATTTATAATTTCAAATTTGTGTAATATTTTCTCTTTAATGTTAAAGTTATTTTTCAAATGAATCAAAAATACACACAACTACTGAAATTAGTAGGGAAAACCCATAAAGATACTTTCCAAACCACAACAAGCCATACAAGTTAAAGGTTAAGAACTTACAAATTCTTCAGAACAAACATTTTTTTCATGAGCAGAACTTCTATTGGATAAGCAACATAGTGACATGCTGCTGAACTTCAAAGATCAGAGGAAAGAATCATATCATGAAATTCCCAGAAAACTCAGGCACTTTTTCCACCAGCCTCGTAAAGCATCCTAAAAAACACCTATGTTTCAGAGGCAAGAGATTTTGGTTTTATTTCTGTTCCAGTTGAAGTTGCTCTAATGCATATCAGAACAGCAAGTCTCAAGAGCCTCATCACAAATTCTGGGGAGCCCTTTGATAAATTCTGCTATACTTCCAGGGGGAAAAAAACCCAACCAACAACTCAGAATTTTTATGCTTGTGTAATAGTTTTCAATTTGGTGACAACCAGAATTTATATATTCCTGGCACTACATGCCAGGAATATATAGATAGAATACTATCTAGTATTCTCAAGTTTACTGCTCATGCAGGAAAGTTTGCAGAAATTGTTTCACCTCAGACTAAAAGGATCTGCTACATCAGCATATCATGCATCATTCAGAAAAAAAGATCCCCAAATATCTCTGCATTTTTATGTATGCATGGGTTTCATCATCCTCTACATAACCTGTTAATATCTAATTGATATCTAATTAACAAAAAATCAATTTGAGTAAAATACGGTTTTGAAGACAAGACTCTAGCCAGAGTCTGAAGAAAAAAAAATAGCCTTTCTTTTTCCCTAGCTATGGCCTTAAAACTACTTTCTGCTTTCCACTATCACTGCCACTTCCAGGTCATTTTTTTGGCCAAATGTACCACCAATGTAATACTAGCAAACAATTTATATAAACACTCCTTAATATCAACATCTTCCAAATGACAAATCTACTCTACTTGCATTCCCAGTGTAAAAAGCCATCTGGCATGCAGGAAGGCTAATAAATCTTACAAAACCTTTTCCATGCAAGAACTTTTCCAAAACATGCTGCTGTGAAACACAAGCAGGAAGTGCCACAGTCCTCAACACAGATTTTAGCTTGACTGGCAATGCTCATCAAGGTAACATGTCATAGAAATCCTTCCTCCAAGGAAGCTCTAAGGAGACATCATCCTCTCATCCTCCCAAATGTGTTGCAGTTCTGATTATGACTAAGTTGCATGCATAGGAACATGGTTATCAATGCTAAGAATGCAAGTATTTATTTCAGAAAAATCAGAGGCTAGTTTTCAATGTGTTTGGTTGTAAAATAAGGTTTTAAAAAAGGTCACACCAAGCTTTCTTTCTACACTTTCTACAGCACAATTCACAACTCCCTGCCCAGCCATTTCTCAAAAAAAAGAGAAAATCATAGGGGTATAAAATTCTAAGATTCCCTTACATAAAATCAGGCATAGGAGGCTGAAGAAAGAGTATTACTGCAGGGGCTGGGTGGAAAGAGGTATCTGCTTCCTCTTGGAGGTGTTCTCTATTTGCCAGTTGCCACACAGAGCTAACTGAGAATAGGATCTAAAAGCTATGCAGAAATACAGTAAGAGGTGCCCAATTCTTCAGTTAACGTATCTCTGTATTTCAGCAATGAGTGCAAAGGCAGAGAGCTTCATCAAATCCTTTTCCATACTGATCTTTATCTCTACTTTTGACCACAGAAAGATAGATGGGCCCGAAGGATTCAATTAAAACAGGTACATATTTTTCTTATTGCACACATGAGCAGTAATAGAGGTAAATCTATTGTACATGACTTAGGACCTTGTGAGCCAATGGCGATCCCATTCAGCTTGTCAGCAAGCACAAGCCTTGCAGTGGAGGAGAGGCTGTAGACACATTACAGCTTGCAAGAGCACTGAGGACTCATCTGCACCACTTTGATAGACAAAGGGAGGAAAGATTCAGAGGGTAGCTTGTGAAGTACTGCTCATTTCCGTAGTATCACATTACACATCTTGACAGCAATTCAGGCCACTGGCAAAAAACTGCAGGCTGCCTGAGCCATCCTTAATTGGCTCCCTGCAGAGATCATGCCCCATATGTAGCCAACAGTGCTAAACTCTGCTACTTAAATTCAGTGTTGTTACATAGAGTGAAAGACATGGTTAGCCAAAAACTTGGCCTAGCTTTTAAACAGCACTGATCTAGAAGCTCTCAGCATCTGCTAATGAGCACATGGGGCGATTCTGGAGCAAGATTCTGGTCAGCACAGGACATTTCCTTGGCAACTTGTGTAGAGCAACTCCTTATCCTATGTGTCTCCAGGCAGCACTAGATAGAGGGGATAATAGGCTCTGTAGGCTCTCTATAGGCCCTCTAAGAGAAGCTTTTAGATATTTCATGGCATAGACCTTTGGGATGGGGTTTTATTTACCCTGAATCGAATCAGCATGTGTCTTAGTGACAGGGATGACAGGTCGATGATTACCCTGCTGCAGATATTTACTTGGTTGAAGTGCCAGTCTTCTGGGCAAGCAGTCAAATTGGTACCTATGAGAAATAAGGCATGGCCAGAAGCCATGTCTAGTTTAGCACTGCTCTTACCCACCATTATTTATTGCAACAAGCTGGACTTGCAAATATATGCTGGACATGCAAGCATATGCTGGACATGCAAACATATGCATGGTGTGATGCTGAGTTTCCCAGCTGAGTTTTAAGTTTGTTCATCACTTATACAGAACAGGGATTTGCAAAATCCATCACTGGAACATTGTAGTGGAGTGCTTGGACAGTTTTCTGTTCTAAATTTTGGCAGCAAGGAACTGTCCTGAAACTGTCCCTGCATGTCAGGAACTATCCTGAAAGAAAGGAATTTAACTTCTGTGGAAAGATGCTTAGGCAATCTAATACCAAAGGGTAAAATAATACACAACAGCCAAAGAGATTATCTCAAACACAGCTTTCTTCAGCAGCTGCCTTCTACTACAACAGTCTCACAATGCAAGCACTACCTTATAAAGCCAGGATTTCATGCTATACAAGAAACTTTACATAAAGTAGCACATTTGTATGAAAATACTGTCTCTACGTGCAGACTCCTGCCACTGTGGCTAGAGCAATGACATGCACTCTAAATGTAAATGTTGACAATTTATACAATATCCTATTTCCTCTCTTATGTGCTAAAAGCAGTTGCAAAACACATTACCAAGAACTCATTACTACTGAGTTCCCGGAAAAAATAATGTAATGAATCCCCAAAGATATAACCTCTATTACATATAATGGATGCACTTAAGTCATTCTTGAAAAGGACCAGCATGCTCAAATAACAGCCTCAGACTGCTAGGTAACATTTCTCCCTGCAAAACTTACCAGTCTGACCTCAGAAGAAGAAAGTTTTACAATTTTGGAGTCAAAAAAAAGTGCTCTTTTTTAAATATATATTGACAAAATCAGGCAGAGGTCTGTCAGGGATGAGAAAATCTATTTTGACACACAAACACCAACACCATATAAGTCCAATGTTGCAATTTATTGAGCTGCTTATCTCTCTCACACCAGCTATATCCAATATATATATAGATAGATACAATAAATCATCTGGAGAAGATCAGCCCTTGCAGTAGATAGATTCATAATTATTATCACCACCTTCCACTGATCCATACTGATCACGTTTAATGGAAACAGTGAACTCTTGAAGATAACATTATATTACACTGATGCCACTAGGATATCAAAGGTGCTTCTCCTATGCATTTTGACATAAACTGCAATGCTATCATTCTACATAGAGTGCAAAAAAAAAGGAAATTTCGGATAACACAGATATTCTTGGCTGTAAATTCAAGTCAGCACTTCAGAAAGTCAGGCAAAAGGACAGCGCGTATTAGTTTATTGCATATTTGCACAGTGTAAGCCAAGCTACAAGCAATGACAAGTGCAAGGAAAGAAGAAAAGTTGGTGTTGTTTTGTCAAAGAAAATGTCAACAGCAGAAAAGTAGCACAAAGGAAATACCTTAAGATCTCGCCTTTCCAGATGTAAAAGCTCAGAGCCTCGGATGTCATGGCTGATGAAGATTTCTTTGTACTCTCCCAAACTGAGCAGATCCAGCCAAGCAGCAACTTCATCTGTGCCCCATTTTTGAACTACCAAAGTTAAGAGCAAAACCCCCTTAATTTCTACATGCTCAAATGCATCACAAGCAAAGATTAGGCCAAAGAGAGTGGAAAACAGAGTAGAATTGCCGTGCTAGCAAAGGGAAAGGTTAGAGGTGTCATTTCCACGAAAACTTACAGTTTCCTTTTTACATGCAGGTTACAGGTTAGCAGTTAACATGAGAAAGTATCTAAACAAAGTTGGGGTTCTTTGCTTTGCAGCCATGCTTTCAGCTTTACTCCAGTTTCTCCAGTAAAGCCTTTTTTTAAAACATCATGTCCCAACAAATTCACATTAAACCAGCTTAGGATCAGTGACGCAAAATCTAATGATGTTCTGCTTTATGCCATTAATTTATTAGAAGCCATCCAAGGAGAGGAGAAGCCTTCAAAAACTAATTAACATGTAAAATTAAACCAGCAACCATACCTCAAATAGAGCAATGGCAGCAAGCAAGTCCAGTTTTAATTAACAGATTCTAGTATTCTTAATCAATAAAAGTACTCTTTAAGCTACTGTGTTACAAAGGCCATTAAGAAGCTCTCTATAAAACATTGTTCTCTAAGGTTAGTTGCCCACATTAGTCCTATTAAGACCACATTTATTAAAAAATTAGCTATGCTACTTATTGCTATAATTTTGCAACTTCATTCAATGCTGATCACTTTATAATGAAGTGAAACCTTAAATCTAATCTGAAAACTATAGTTTGAGCAACAACTGCAAGACTTTGCAGATTATGACCAATTCATTAAAAAGATAAAGACATAGAAACAGTTTTAGGACCATCTAATCCTGGATATAATCTTAAGGAAGTAAGTTCATGGATAAGAGTGGGAAGAGAGGAGAGTGGAGTTTGTTCAACTTCTAATTATAAAATCAATACTGACTGTCATGATTTTTTGTTTGATCTATGTCATTTGCTGAACTTATAACCCATCTGAAATTTAAGAATATCTAGTTAATTAAAACGGTGTGATAAAAGCTATTGCACACCTTCTGGAACTAACCTGAAAAACCTGAACTGGAGCTTCACAGGGAAACAACATGTTTACCCACAGCTTGTATGGCTATGAGTTAATCAAATGGAACCACCAGCAAAGACACAGGTCCTGTTGCATGATAAAACTACCTAAGTATTTTCACAGTACTTCTTTGGTTCACTTGGAAGTATTTGGGTCCTACTGAATGCTTTCTAAATGCACTGAAAGAAATCTTTATCCTAATGAAGATGCCGAGTAGCTCAGTTGCTTTTCACTCTGACTTTACTCTTAGGTAGAACGCACAATGTTGCCTCTTACCAAGAAAACCCCACGAAATCACGTTTTCCACAAATTCTACCATTTTTCTTGTAATTTCAAAACACATACCAGGCTGAGAGCTGCTCTTATGCTTCTGAACTTTTTCTTTTTTAAACTTTGGCACTATACGAAACACTGTACTTCTGTTGTTTCTTTTAGTATAATCCAGAGGGGGATCCTGTATGAAATAATGGGCATAGTTACCTTTAATTAACAGAAAACAACAGTTAAATTACATGCTTGTGATAATAATTCATAGTTAATCTCAAAAACTAAGACCCAATTTTACTTCTGTAAAGAATAATGTCAGGATTTAACTCTATATGTGTTTCATTTATTAAATAATTATTCAAAACCTTTACATTCACAAACGGGAAAAAAACACCAAAAAAAAAAGCCCTAAGCTTAGAAGCTTGTTCACAGCAGACAGAAATGATCCAGCATCGCTACTGAACTTGCTTCTCTGGTAATGAAAGATTCTAACTTATTCTTCCCTGTCAAAAGAAAATTAAGTTCACTTAAAATCAGGAAGTACTCATCAAACTTACCTCATCATCATTTGGTTGAAAAACATAATAAAGCCAAGGAATCTCAGCAAGTTTTCGCAACTCTATTTCCACACTGTGCAAAGCATCAGACAACAGTTCTTCATGGGGAGCTTCTAACTGCTGTTTATAAACAGGTCAGAAAACCAGTAATTTTAGTTTCACTGAGATTTAACATTTAAATCTAGATATGTTGTTACCAGGCACAAATACATGACTACCTCATGGTGAGTGTAAAACAAACAGTGAAAACAAATAATAAATAATCTTCCAAAATTACTTTCCTTGGGAGATGCATCAGACCACCTTGACACTACATTTTCCGTGGTCCCAAGCACAAAGGGATGACTGAGACAGCTGAGACTTTTGGACCGCAATCACTGTCATCATTCTCTGCATTCCAGAGTCTTTATAGAGCAAGAGTTATCTGGTAACACCACTACCTAGGACACACTAGGAAAGGAAACTACCAGCATAAGGGAGAGAAAACCTGAACAGAAGAGCAAGCATCTGAAAAATCTTTGTATGGAAAGTGGTGTAAAAAAATTGAGTAGATGGCAGTAAGCCTGAGTTCTTTTTTGCAAATGTTTTCAGAGAGTAGATTGCTCTCTCATGGTCAAGTAAGAGGAAATGGATCTTGCTGAAGATGCTTCATGCCCAAAGGTCTTACAGTACTGATACGTTACCTGCACTATCCCTTCTAAATAGGTGAGACATGGAGCAATAGACACTGCTGCTGGCTGAGGCTGGGAAGAACTCCTTGACAGGAGACAAAAACGTCAAGGACATCAGTGAAGGCCAAAGAGTAAAAGAAAGCGGTGGCAGTGTAAAAACCTTGGGACTTGCTGGCCTATGGCAATTTGTCTCTAGCAATACTTTGAGAACCCCATGGAGGTACCCGTTTTCTTTAAAACTCCAGTCTGAAAAGTATTCTGCAGCTGTTTTGTGAGTGAACCTGTGTGGAAGAGGTAATGCAGGCAGCTGACCCCTAGAAAAGCTGTTTTGACCTGTCCCCTGGAAAATCTGGTTTTTTGCTGAAACACCATTTTGAGGTAAAGAATTGAATCCTGGAACAAGTTGCTTGGAATCACTAATAAAGCAATCTGAACATTTATTTTTCTCTTTAAAGTAAAAGAAGTCCCAAAACAGTGCAGAATATCCTTTTGAAAGGATACATTACATACATCCTGGTGAATTCATTTTTTAAATGGAGTTCTAAGAGAATATTTGATCTATAGTGCCAGAAAAAGATTTTGACATTGCTGGGGTTTGGTGATAAATTGCAAGCCCTCATTAATTTATCCTACCTAACAAAAATTCTTTCCTTTGCTTCAGTAGTTTGCAAGTTTACTGTCTTTCAAAAGACAGAACATCCTTCGTGAGAGCTTGCTGTCTAGTACAGTAGTACCGCGAATATAAGCTCTTTTTGTTATTGTGTTATTTTCTCTTCTAAAGCTCATAGAATTCAGTGTCCATAAATAGACTTTGATGTTTCTTTTGTCTTACCTTTTTTTTTCAATGCAAATAGTTCAGTTAATCTGGAGCACAGTAGAAGAGTCATTTGCCTATGAAGAAGTTACAACTTTTCTTGTGTTTTCATTTTTGAGAAATTATTCAAGTCATCTATTTTCTATAAATGAATGAAGCAAAGAATTCTGTCTTTCTCAACAGACACTTATCTAATTGCTTGATTCTCAATTGCTTGGGGACAAAAAAACCCACTTGTGATGGTTCTCCTGAAATAAACTCAAAATAATAGTGCAATTCTGGTATGGGAAGAATCAGCAATTTACTCTGTATTCTCCTTCTACAACATCTTGGAAAACCTTCTTCTTTCCAAGACAAAAATTAACACTATGAATGAAACAATGAAAATAAAGTTTTTTCAATTCCTTCCCAATTTAATTTTTTAATATGAAAATATTTTATTTCACGTGAGCTTAGATAATTTCTTTCAGTTGAAATGAAAAATTCTTAATTAAGGGAATTAATTTTCTCCTAATGCATTTGAAAACTGTGCTCTGCTGCAGACTGGAAATGCTTTTTAAAAATCAAAAATGGAAACAGTGCCTTTGGAAAGCATCTAGACAAAACACGGTATTTTTAATTTTTTCCAAACTTTATTCCAGTCATAACTATCTGGGAGATTCCACAAATCAGCTTCATTGTCCTATCTTGAGCAGCTTGGTCTCATAGAAGGCATCCCTGCCCATGGCAAGAGAGTTGGAACTGAATGATCTTTAAGGTCCTTTCCAATCCAAACCATTCTGTGATCCTAAGAAGCAGCTTACTAAGTGCCCTAGTTTAGTTGCTGACTGGGGTTAAATCATGACATCAAGTAGTATATGCAATAAAGACATCAGTTTACTGCTATCAGGAGCTTTGATCACAGAAAAGAGGGATGAGAGAGAATTGAAGAGACCAAAAAAAAAAAAACAAAAGGAGGATATCAGAGAAAGAATGTCTGTCTTTGTGAGAGGAGAAAAATAATTTGGAGAACAGGTTATGAGCTGATGCATCAAGCAACACCTTACACTTCATCATTTTAATAGAATGAGGGACCAGTATACATGCAACTTCAGCATTTATAAAATACATGGCAATAAGGTGAACCAGGGTCCCTTGTTACTGTGGCTGTGAAAAACTATTCTAAACAAGTATGATGTCAAATGAGTGTAATGGACATGTCTGGAATAGTATCTCAGTATCTTCCAAGCAGCATTTTTATTAAAAAATGGGCTCGATGTAGACTCATGAAGACATTTGCACAGACCACAATGAGAAGCAGAAGTACAACGCGTAAAAATTCAGAAATGGAAAAATGAATCAAATTAAACTTTGGAGCCTGAACAAGAGACCGGCTCAACAACACGATGAGATCGCAACTGGTTGCAGAAAAGGTAATGTTTCAAGGGGAAGGTTTCCATAACATTATTTCCATTATCACCAGTCCTAGTATGACATCTCCAACTTAAATGTTTTCTCCTAATTCCTCTTCCTAAACTATTTTAAAATTTTAAAAAAGTTCTTTCTTTTAATTCCCCTTTAAATCTGAAATATGGGGGATTAGTAAAAAACAGCAAGATATTTTTCCCTTTTCTTGGACCAAAACATCTAATGAATAACTTTTCCTTTGAAAACATTCTGAAATAGAACATATGAATCTAATTTTTGACTATTTCTAGAAGTTAAACCATATGACCTTTAGACTATATTCACTTTTGGTTACTCTAAAATAGACTCATACCATTTACCACTTGTGTAAAAAGGTATGTGAACCTGCATCAGTAATTTCACACCCTAACTCAGATAAATGAAAATATTCCTATTAATATCCATTTTTAATTACAACACTTAAACAGTAAGTTAGTAATAAATTTGCTTTTGAACCTAAGAAAATGTAACTGATTCTTACGAGTATGTTCTTAATGTAAAACTGGACCAGCATAGAAAACCAGAAATCTTTATTCTCTTCACAATGTCACATAAAGAAACTTTCTAATTATTACCAGTTAAAGATTATAAAACAACTCCTGACAGGTATTAGAACAAGGGTAATATTTACTTGCCCAGACTAGATCTGTGGAAGCTGAATGCACTAGTCTAAACAGCTCTCACCCCAGGTTCTCCTTAAACTCTGAGGATGGTCACATAATAGTACACTCTAGAAGTTCTCTTAAATGCTTTATCTCCTGAAGATGATTTATCTTTTTCTAAGATAAGCCTCCAAGACAGCTGAGTGTGAATCAACCTCAACAGGGACACTTCTCTCCACTGACTATTAAAAAGAAGAGTACAAGCAATGACCTAGCTCCCTGACGTGGGGCAAGATGGATGCCAGACTTGGACAAGAATTTGTAATCCATTCTAATCCAACCACAAATGCAGTGTAATATCCTTCTATCGATTTTACAGAGCTTCTTGCAGCACATCATAAATTCTGCACCAATTTTAAAAAATCAGCAAAGAAAAAATCACGGATAATCTGAAGGAAAGAATAAAACCAAGTGTCTTGTGATCTTACCAAAGGAACTCTTCCTACCAGCAGAGATTCCGTTTCATTATGCAAGGCCTTCACATTGACAGCTATCTCCATGGCAGTGTTTCTGGTAAGGCTCTGGGGAATAAGAAGTATAAACAATATTTGAAGTGATGCAAGTCAGACTAAGTACTTTGGGCTTACGGAACAGATCTTAAGTGCCTTCTCCTAGGAGTAATACATCAATTTAGCTCTAAACTGACAAATTCTTCAGTACTGAGAATAGAAACCAAAAATATAGTATTTATTTACTGTCTTTTGTTCAATTTTATTTAGTATGACCTTAACACAATCCTGAATATCGTCAAATGACCAGCCATCTGTGAGACAAATCCATGAGTTTTATGTATGACAAAGGCCAGCAGAGAAGTTGTGGGTCTCATTTAACAACAACTGTTGATCTCAATTTTTCATCTTATCCTTAGCAGAAGTAAGCTACTAGCCATACTTTAAGAAGCAAAGGGCAACTGATATATTTATCATGTGTAAATTTAGTTTAGATATAGATAGTTTCTACCCAATTATCTTTTCTGGGTCCAATTCCTGAAAACACCTAGATTGTCTAGTGGGAAGAGAGGAAAGAGGAAATGCATTTCCCCTCAGCCCCTTTGCATTCTCTGCATAGTACTTGAATAGCAATTAAGCATGAAAATTTCTCTGAAAGTATCCACAGAAATTGACCTTTATGTAGTAATAGAACTAGTTCAGCCTTTGTCATGCCTCCACTCTCTGTTTAGGGACGTGCCTACACAGTCGTCTGCAGGCCGAAGTGAGCTTACTTTGCCAATTGTTTTTGCTGTTTGCACCACCTCACTTGATTAAATAAGCACTGCTGCATCACTTCTGGAGGAGCACCCTTGGCTGTGGACCACCACTGCCGATGAAGTGAATTCCTGACTGCTTCCAAAAGGCAACAGTCATACTCTTACTATGCCCCTAATCCAAACTCCCTATCTCTCATTTGACTATTCACTCTCCCAGAAGGTCTGCATTTTAAGTGTCATTAATGTCCCTTTCCAATGTCCAATGTTCACCTAAGAGTATCAGCTAGGGTGGACACTGATGAACAGAGAAACTTCATCTTCTGCCTTCTCCTCCAACTTGTTTTAATATGGGCACAGGGAGTACAATACAGACACTGTGCCACAAGCTTGTGCACCCAGATATTATAGCTTATTTACTTATACATAAATCTCTGTTGTTCCTTTACCTCAGGAAACCTTGGGTTGGCTTTATTTAATGCATGTGAACATGCATTAACAGCATGAGCAAGCTCCTGCTCCAAGAGGCCATGTATTTTTGCTGCTTCACAGATCCTACAAAAATATTAAAAAAGGAGAATATTTCTTAATTTCTTTAAAGAGTAATTCTTAAGTACAGAACATTATCAGATGAGAAAATACAAAAATATATCTTTCACAAAACATTTTTAAATAAATATAGTCCTTTATAACAAAAGTTGAAATGCAAGTATCTCTTGGAGCAATACAGCACCTCATATAAAAAATATCCATCACATGGATTATTTATGCTGCTACAAAATACTGAGCCACATTTATATGTCTTAGAATACTAGTGATATGCAAAAAAGGTACCAAAAAGATTGGGCCTATTAATTCAAATAACTATAGAGGAAAACTCTAGCACATTAAAATAACTTACTTGAAATTATCTTAAAAAGTGTTACACCTATTTCACAAGGCATATCCTTCAGATGTGACACGAAAATTGGTTGCAATCATTTGAGATTATTACAACCTCTGGACCATATCTAGAACAGTAAAGTTTTTAAGCTGTCTTGGCTAAACTTCACTTTGGGTAATTGATACACTAAATTATTATTCTACTTAAGTTATCACTACAGTATAAAAAGAGTATGTAGTTTTTCAATTCCTTTCTTATCAGTGATTTTGGTGATAATTTGTTATGATGATGAACTGAATACCAGCTTTACAAACTGTTCTAATCTTAAAAAAAAATATTTTCTTTAAAAAAATTAGGGTGTTTTTTTATTTTTATTTTTCTTTGAAAATGGAAGTGTCTTCTTTATTAAACTACTTGCATCTCAGGACGAAAGTACCTCCTGAAAATAAGCAAGGCTGTGGGATCAGTTTTACACCATCAGCTCACTATCATCTCAACCCAGATAAATGACTGAAGTGCTCATCCTGCTGACTTCTAAAGTTGACTTCTAAAGGGTTTTTCTAATAAATATATTTTTGCTTTTGCATAAAATGAGAGGGTTCAATCTCTGTAAAGAAGCTTTCCAGTCTTCCATTTCCAGTGCTACTTCGGAAAGTTGGTTTTCACATGAAAAAAGCCCAACACAAACACACACAAATAAAATTAAAGAAATTCATAAGAAAAGAATACATAAAGAAGTTGAGCCTTAAAAATAAAATAAAATTTTGAAATTGGAATAAAATAACTGATATAGTGGCAAGGAACATTCATCAAAACCTAGGAAAAATATACACTTTTAAGTCTGTGTATTAACTTATTAATTTTACTGTACCTGGTAATAAGTTCTTCTGCAGCTTGTGAGCACAGCTGGATCTGTGCAACTTCTTCATCTGTAGCCAACTCAACAGCTTGCTGAGGGTACAAGGGAGATCGAATGACAGGTTTACAGGAATCATACTTCTGTTTGTCTTCCCAAGACTTCAGGGTGTTTTCAAAGGCCTAATCAAAATGAATTATACATTCAGTTCACAGCACTTGGACTATTCTTACTCATTAAAACATTTTATTTTACATTTTATATGAATTTATATTATATAATATTTTAGTTTAAATTAATTTAACAAATAAACAACTGTTTTATTTAATTTTATATAAATAATGCAACCTGTATAAATAACAATTTTATATTTAATTTTTTAAAACTTAGTATAGAGAATAAGTCACTTCTGAAAGCTCTTTTCTATCTCCTCCCTGTTATCCTCAAAACGTGTCATCCAAAACAATAAGAACACAAAGACAGTGATAATGGTTGGACTCAATGATCTGAGAGGTCTTTTCCAACCTAAATGATTCTAGGATTCTGTGATTCTCCAATTCAACTATCTGCACATTTTGTGCAGATAGTTAGACTGAAATCTGAAATGAATACTGGATTCAAACATTAAAAACAGTGGAGAAAAGTAACATATTTAGTAAATTAGAGTTCAAATTCCATTAACTCCACCCTAAATTCAAGATCTAGTTAGTGGATGGAGAACTGAGGGGCAGTTACACCCTTCACACAATAATCCTAGACAAGTGTGAACTCTCCAGTGGCTTTGTGACTATGTTCTGCTTATGTCTCTTCTATCTGAGACTGGATCACAGGACAGAGGAATGATTAGTAGGACAGAGAGAGACAGGAGAGAAATGTGCAAAAAGGTATTCTGGAGAACGGACATTATAGAACTTCTGTATTTATGCAACTGCGCTAAAACTTCCAGGGAGGGAGGGAGGAAGGCAGGCAAGAAGGTAGCAAGGAAGTAAGGAAGGCAGCAAGGAAGTAAGGAAGGCAGGCAGGAAGGAAGGAAGGCAGGCAGGAAGGAAGGAAGGAAGCAAGGAATTTTGACCATTCTTACTATGTAGGAATAAGAATACAGGAATAGTACTAATAAAACCAATAAAAGTTAACAAAGCTTTGCCACTTATACAAAAGAATAATTCTCTATTCATCTTATTAGAGAAATTATATAACTGTAATTAATTGTATGAGTTATATAAATAGTTATAAAATATTTTTGTAAGCACTGTTTTGTTAACTGAATCAAGTTATCACAGAAACCAATGTTAGCAGTGGTATCTCTTTCTGCAACATACTCTGTCTCGTGTTAGCATCTGAGCTCTGTTTTTATGTATGATCTTAATAACTCCTGGGGGCTGGATCCATGCCTCTCCATCGACTTGCACTGGAACCCCTTCATCACCAAGTATGGTGATCTTTACTGACCGACACTGGAAAAGAACAGACATGTTATTTTACAGAGCAATGAATACTAATGACACTGACAGGTCACCTGAAATCTGTTGATTACTAGGAGCTGTGGCTTCCGTCCAGGACTGTCTCAAGAATGAAGAACTTTTATACTTCATTCATCATTGAAGACAATTTGTTACCCGTTAAAAACAAAACAATGTCAGCGCTTTATTAATGTATAGCGTGGTGGTCATCCAAGCTACCACTACTTGCCAGCATCCCAAACTGCTGCTAACCATGTTGTGTGCTTGCACGTGAGAAACAGACCTGAGCGATCCTATGGTGCTGCAGTTTGATGACTCTTGAGACTGCCATCTGCATGCTGCCAAATACTGCAACAACTTCTAAGATTTTATCATCAAACGATGGAGCCCCAAATATCTGCAAAGAAATTTTGATGGTAAATCCAGTGCTTAGATTGTATGTTCAATGAAACACAGATTCATTTACAGATTCGTTTTCAACATTTAAATGCTCTATCTTATTTACTGCAGAATAACTACAATGTCTCTAAAGTCATAGGAGTAAGATACCATAGATAATAGCCAAATATTACTGTAAAATAGCAATGCTAACAGCATTTCAAATATCTGAATGACAAGGCATATCCTCATATAGGGAGGATGACATGTTTCAGCATGCAGATTAAGAAATGTTTTTCAAGGCAAGATGAAAGGCCAATTCAAATCTCTGCTTGGTTAATGTACTTAATATCTAAAAGGTGCTTGAAGGTAAGAGAAGCAATGATGTCTTATTCCTCTCAGAAGTGCTTATCTGTTTATATTCTGAATTTTCTGGAAACCAACACTGAGTCCACACTCTGCTTTGTTTAACACAGCTTTGACACTGAAGAGGATCTTTTTTTTGCTGTATGTAATTATCCACTATAAATACAAAAACTGCTTCTGTATGGAACAAATATCCTCCTATCTAGCCAATGTGCTGAATTTCCACAAGCTCACACAAAGCACAGGAAGTCTTGCCACCTGGTGTCCTGTTGGGGAATTCAGCCACAGGACAAGTCTTAGGCTGGAGTTCAGCTGCGTCTGGCAGGTGATAACCACACTAAGGTCACTTAAAGCTTGGCCATTTTATCTTGATATGCAATAGGGAGAAATGAGGGAGAAAAATCAGCAGGAGAAATCACTCCAGTAGTTTAGTGGGTAGAGAGATCACCTCTCTGAGCAGTATTTGGCCTATCTCAGTTGGCACGTTGGGGAGAGTAAGCTGCATCAGAGATACCTGAGACCAGACTGGGGAAAATCCCTTAAAGAAGCTCAAAGGCACAACTAGTCAGGTCCTGCCTCCAGACAGAAGATTTTCTGGAGATGAAGAATAAGATCCAGGACTGTCTAATCCAAATAGTGTCTGCAGCAATAGCTCAGAGAGGGAGACGATGGAGAATAAGGTAAGGCAGTTTGGTCCCTGCTGCCCACTGAGCCGATGGGAGCCTTTATCCCAATGCAGTGAGCAGTGGCTTTGGTCAGAAGGCTGAGGAGGGCATGTTTCCATGGAATTTTTCACATGAGTATGTGAACATCTTGACAAGAGCAGAGATGGCGATTCTGTTATTCCAAGGCAAAAAGTGTGAAGAATTCTTGATCCAGCAACTGACACCTACAGGGCTAGTTCTTGCATGCGTTAAGAAAAAGCATTTGTAAAATTTCATTTATTTTGTGTTTCCATTTTAGCAAAAGGATTAAAAAAAACCCACAACCCAGTCTTCTGCTGTGTCTCTCCATCAGTAATATCTCTACTGAAAACCACCCTTCTTTTTTTTTTTTTTTTTAAAGGCAACCCAATGACTATGGATCAACATTGACTCCTTTCCTGTTGCAGGTCATTTTCCAACCGGTCTTCTGGACACCAAAAAACATGCGTTAACAAGCCCTGCTCAAGTCAGTCAGGGTGCAGCTGCCCTGCTTGCCTCACTGCTGATGTTTCAGCAACAGTCACAGCTGTAAAGGCAACATCTTTCATTTGTCCAGTTAAGCAGAAATAGCAGCACTTCAGACCACCACCACGACCACCTCTTGAGGATCAATTATTCAGCATTGCACTAAAGCAGTGAATTATGCTCCTAACTCTGACCAGAACAAAAATGTCACTGGGCTGGCACATCTGGTCACCAGAAGACTAATAATATCAGTAAAACTGCTTCAGGACACACACATTTGCTGTATACCAGTATGAAAGCTAGGACAGTTCTCTCTCATTGAGAAAGTCTGGGGAGAAAAATAAACTCCTGAACAGGGGCTGAGCAGGTGTTAGAGAAGCTTTCAAGTTATGAATAGGAACATGGAGTATATAAAAACTTGAGATATCCATCACCAAATATAAACAGAACTGCCATCCTCTAACATATACCAAAAATAAGAAAAGGACATTGAAACATGTTTATATTTCTTTTTTTTACTTTTATACATATGTGTATGTATATACATATATATAAGGAATATATACAAGTATGCAAATATATATGTATTAAATAATATATAAAATGCAATAATATATAATAATAGATGTTCATATGTATTATAAAAATATAATTGTGTATGTTATTACATAAAACTATATATACATATTTTTAATATACATATGCACAGAAAAAAGAAAGGATAACATCTCACAAGAAACCCCAAATATTGTGGCAAAAAAATCCTGGACTGTCTACATTAAAACCACAAGCCAGTTTGCAACTACAGTTTTAGGTGATTAAGACCTCACATACTCTAATTGAGGACATGCAGAATTAGGATAATCTGCTAGTAATTATAGTTGTTGCACTGTACATGAAGTCGATAAGCAGCACTGACACTGCTCCAAATTGTAAGACATGTATCCATGTAATGTAATGTTTCTTAGGAGATGAGAGGAAGACGGGAAAAAAGGTACCTTAAAATATTTTAGAAGGTCATTGAAAATAAACTTAGAAAACAATTTACTACCCCCACTAAATTATCAGTGGGTGAATGCGTCAGTCCCCATTTTCTGAACCACCATCCTTTAGAGCAAAGCTGTTTAAAGAACAGGAGGAAAATTCAGATATAAACTGTGAGTGATTATCCTGTCTACCTTGCTTATTGTTAGAATATAGCAAACAGAGGAATCTATGCTTTAAGAAACCTTATTTACAGGAGTCTGTAAAACAATATAGAGAGAAATTATCTGTGTCTCTGTCTATAAAATCAGTTTCTAAAAATACTCAAAATCCTAAAATCATTATGAACATTTTGCTGGAATGGACAGTGAAAAATCATGGGATATATTTTCAATAAAAAAAAATCAACAAGACAAGTTTAAACTGAAACAGCCTCCCCAAATAAGAGTTGTTATCCAAACTATATGCTACTACTATTGATATTTATTGCTGGTTTTGCCCAGAAGGTTACTTCTCTTTACTGTTACTTACATCATCTTCTTTGGTTCCACCCCAGAAATTAGTTCCACCAGCATAGCTGGGAATGTTTAGCACAGCTATGCCCTGCAGGCTTGGAAGAGGGATGTACTGTCCATCACACTGTAATGGATGAAAGCTCATTCAGTTTATAAATAATATGATAAAAGTAATCAGCCATTTTTAACACATGAAGCTTCAATAGAGCTGGTAGGGGAGGATAGAGTCATTAATAGGTCTGACACAAGACTATTCCCTCCAGGCACTGAAGCACCTCTAATACAAACCTCTTCTCCCTAGTCTTAGCATTGATTTTTGCAGAGTTGAAAACCATGTAGATCTACACGCTGTAGTATCTACAGCAGTGGTGTTCCATGACTCTTCAAAGAACCATTTTCACATTCCTTATTATGAAATTCCTCGTGCACTTTGACCATGGTCTGCTTACCAAGGATTAAAAATCTTTTTGCAGTGAAAAAAATAATCTCCCTGAGTTCACACAGTAAGATCATCACGAACATTACAAGAGGATTCATTTACCCATTTGGTAACTAGTCTTGCATCGTATATCAGCATTCCCAAAATTGCAACAGACTTGTTATTTAGGTAAATCCATTAAGCTCGGGGTGGTGTCTGTGTGTGTCAAAAATATCCAAGAATATTTCGGGAATAGCCACAAATGTGGTTAGTTGTCAGTGTTAGCATGTATTGTTGACTTGTAAAAATAACTTCACCCTCCTCCCAAAAGTGCAAAGACAAATCTAGGACTGACCCCAGAGTTGTTACCCTGGCTGTGGCTGGGAGTTGTTCATTTTGCAGGTAAGAGGTCGCTCCTATATCCAACTGTTCAGTTCTTTCTTACGGCTTTATCTCCCAAAACCCATAAGCAACTCCAAGCCCTACCCAATACAATCATGGGATGACATAGGTCAATCTCACATTATTTTCAGCCAAGAGTAAATTTACAGACATCGGTGAAATCACTCTTGACTTAGAGCAGTACAACTGCCTGCAGAGGTGAGCACAATGATCTCAAACCATTCCACTAGGACTCAAAAGAGAAGTCCTGCAGCAGTGCCACAGGCATGGATTTGAAGCAAGTTAGAAATAAAAGGCTGTAAATGCTGGACTCAGGTGTCACTTTGTGGACCATGAAGTTGGAGGTCAAGTTGCCTTTAAGGAAGATTGCTATATTACTGCACACTGCCAGTCCCACAGTAAGATTTTTAAATTATACAAATGAAATAGAAATTGTCAGAAAATAAGGACAAAATCTGTAGCAACTTTATCAGGAGGAGAACGATATGCAAAATTATTTCCGGAATGTGTTTAGTGCTCTTTTTATGATTTAATCTCAGTAACAAGACAGAATTTAACCTTTTCATCAAGATGTGACAGTATCCAAAATACAGTGTGATATTAATAGATGCTGCACAGCCATTTGTATTATAGTGGAGGTCTGCCTCCAATTCCTGAATAAGGTTGATATTTTGTAAGACAACACTAAATATTCAATATTTCTATTTGCTGGCTTAATTCCAGAAATATTCAAAAATAATTATGGAAAAGTCAGCAGCGAATATATTATCAAATCTTATTTGAATCAGATTCAAAAAATCCTTAAATTAGAATTCTATCTGCAGCATACATAACATTCTGTCCTGTTATTATATTTGCTAACTACTTCATAATTCCTTGATAATTACTCAATCCTTAGCTAACAGCAATCTGCTGCTACTGGACAAAATCCTCCTAAATCCCAGAGGAGCAAGAAAGAGTTCCAGTAACCTAAAATTATTCTTTCAACTTTAAAATTTACCCTCACATAAATATCATGAACTTCCATATGAAATACTTAGCATGAAATAAAAAGAGAAATTTTATATGTTCATTGTCAAAATCCAGCTTAGATACTCTTTGGGTGAAAGTAACAGTAACCATCCTGTTGTCTTTTTCTGCATTTTGTAATCAGAACTTTAAGTTCCGAGTATCATGAGGAAGATTTAGATTTGATGTTAGAGCTTAAAAGACAAAAAATAGCTAGCTATGTTCAGACATGGGATTTGTTGTTGCTATGATAATATCTTGCTTCTTTTGAGTGACTACTAGGTAAAGTCTCTACTGGTGTAGTTGTGTTTCTTGTGATACAATTCAGAATCTCCTCTCTTTTGTCAGCAATTTTTGAATATTTGTGTGTTCTCCCTATATGTGTAATCAAAATTTCAGATATATTAAAATGAACCTGAAGAATTAAGACTCCTTGTCTCTTTCCTTCTGTTTATTTTATGGTCATTTCTGTTGTTGCCCTTAAAACCTGGTCTTCCTTTTGAAGCAATGAACATTAAGAAATATATCCTACCTAAGCAATTTATTTTTTTTTGTAACCTGGTAATTACAAGAAATGTTAAACTGGGTATTTTGTGACCTTTAAGTACTGACATTTTACTCAAAAACTCCACTGGGAGAACAAACTTTTACATAGCACATCCTTATACTGTGCCTTTGAGGTCAGCTTGAGTTGATACAAGAACTCTAAAAGGTTTCAAAAAGAAGCCCAAATTCTTCACTGCACATGGTGGAAGCAAAAATACTTATTCTGTCCATAAATAAAATTTACCTCAAGTTGAACTTTTTGTTCTAAGTTCTTGTAAGTTCTCTGCAGTAGCTCTTTTGTGCCAAGAACTCCATACCACATCATGTTTTTCGTCCGACTTCTGAAAGCAGGCAAAACAAGACTCACATATTGAAATATACACATTATTGTGCCTTGTATTTGTAGGAAGAGAAAAATTTAAGAAATTCATATAAAGAGATAAGGAAAAGAAAAGAATGGAAACATCTTGGCTCTGTTACTGACAATTATTTTACCTGCACTTTTCAGGGTGTTCTTCTCGCTTGTTATTAAATTCTAGTGAAATTTTTGCATCTAACCCAATTCCAAAGTAGTTGTTCATGACACATTTTTCTGAATATCCCTCCCTGTTAAAGGAAAAGAGATAATTAGGTGTACATTTGCACAGAACCTGGACACACAGCCATCTATGACCAAGACTGTCGTTGGTCTCAGAACACAATATCAACCAAGAGATTTTAAGAGATCTTTCCTCTCAATCTCCCTGAGGAAACCCACCGGTAGTTGAAGAGACAGGTTGTATGACAGTTCCTTCGCAACTGCAAGTTACTTCCTGTAGGGCGAAGGAAAAACTGTACCACACCCCCATCCAGCACTATCTCAACTATACCCAATACAACAGTGCAATACATTGAGAGAGCTTCCCCAGGCCCAGCTCTGAGACAGCAACAGCACACCATGCTGAGCACCCAGGTTGTGGTTAGGCTTGCTGGTGCTAGATGTTTGGCTGATGCTGCTGGCATTGCAAGGCTTTATTTTAAGGGAGTCACAGCCCAAAACCCAGATACCACCCATAAGTCTCTGCCAGTGCTACACCCACTTCTGAGAAGCAGAGACAGCTTAGGACACAAAATTTCCACCTCACTGCTCCAGTCCTTAGGGCATCACTCTTCTTTCTCCACTACGAAGTGCCCAGACCTGCTTCAACATCTTGCTGGCGGCTGAGCTTGCGTTCAGACCGGCGGTTTGGGCAGAAAAACCCAGCTCTGAAAGACTACTCTCCTCCTCCTCCCAGTGAGCAAGGGATAAGTGAGCAAATGTCTCCTATTATTTCTGCTGCTGCAAAACAATTTTGCACTACTCATAACTAAATGGCACAATCCAACTTGTTTTCAGACATTGAGGTCTACTGCCAAATGATAGCAAACAAGAACTACATAATCAAAAAAAAGGACTGTAAATATGTAAAAAAAAAAGCCCTTAAGAAAAGCAAGGTAAATCAAAACAGTACATTTGGAAACAAAAATATTTCTTACAGGGAATCTGGATCCGGGTCAATAAACGGCGTAGCACCAAATGGATCGATGTTTGCTAGCAACATTTTGCTAATAATTGAACTTCCTGCAATGGAAGCAGCTAGACCAGCCCTCAAACCTGATTAAAAAAAAAACAGAAAGAAAATAATAAAAAAAACAATTTGTATTTGACAAACAGCCAAACATATAAGCCACATACTGAGAAACAATATTCATTAAATCTGTACAGGGAATGATTGTGATTCTATCTCAATTTTTATCTATATTGGTGTCATGGGTTGAGATTGGCCCCCCTGAGAGCCAAGGGGCCCAGAGGTGATTGGGTGCCAGGGCAGTGTCCCCTGGAGGGCCAATCACCGTTCATCTTGTTCGCTGCTGCTGAAAAATCATATATACACAGCCACTGGAAGCTGTTGGCAATTCTGTTGGTGTCTGCTGCGGCATGTAGGTGTAGAAATCCAGAGGGGAGGCCCTGCAGCCCACAGCCCTGCAGCCCACAGCAGGGTTAGAGGCAGCATTTGGAGTGAGTTAGGGATGCGACTCACAACATCTGAGAGAGGAACCTTATGGGCGCTCTGAATATGAGGATGACTACGGAGACCACAGGGACAGACGCTACAGAGACAGATCAGCAGAACGGTCTCAACCACGATCTCGATCTTGGTCCCGGTCCTGCTTGCGATCTCCTTCCGTCACACGCAGAAGGAGCGAAAACCCTAAGCATAGATCTAAGTGCAGTTAACTGTGGTCCTATCTGCGCGCCCAGAGAGAAAACATGAGGAAGTGGGATGGTGAACCTAATTCCAGACTTGAGGCCAGAGTGAGAGAACTAAAATGCAAGGAAGCCGATAAGAAAGTCGTCTATGTGGTAGATGCAGATTTCTTCGAAAGAGAACTGAGATCTCCCAGACACAGGAAGACTGGAGTCCGTTTCCAGGATGACAAGAAAGCCTCTGGTCTGTAACTTTTCTCTTCGGTGTTGAGATAAATTGTGGGGAGGGGTGGGGGAAGCCTGGAAATTGGATTTTGGATTTCTAATGTGGCTCAAACTGCCACAATTGGTCATCTTTTCAAGTCTCTGGCTCCTTTAAGGAGAAAGGCAGCTATGCTGTGGTGCAGTGGCTGACTCTTCATCTACCAGCATTGAAAAAGAAAGTTACAAAGAAAATTTAAGATTTCGGGCCAACACTCACTGGCTGGTATAGTAACCAAACGGGTGACCTAACATCCAAAAAGACTACTAGAGCTTTTTATTTAGTTTAATCTTCATCTCCTAACTGTCTATGATTTTTCTTTGGTCCTATCCTTTGGAAATATTCCTAAGGAATATCTTTACCATATCTAAATATGAATATCTAAACTGGTAGAGCCATAGTTTAACTTAACTTAATTTGTGGAAAGATCACAGCCTTGACACAGCTATTTTGACTAATAACAATGTCATTCTACAAAATACTGTGTAATGCATGTAAACAAAGAAAAGCTTTCTAAAAGCTTTCTCTTAAATTTGCCTAAAGAAAAAACGTAAGCCAGTTCCATTATGTTTTAACTATACTAATAAAGTTAACTAACTCAGTCTTTTACTAGCGCTCTCTAGTATTAATTGAATTTGGAGAAGAACAGATTTTTTTTCATCTGTTAATTGCATTTGGGTAAGAACAGATTTTTTTCTACTGTTTTAACTACACAGCAGCTTTGTGTAGTTTTGGTTATTCACTTCCAGAGAGGTATCCACAGACAGCTCTTACTCAGATGGTTGAACTTCACATGACTTTGACCCTCAGCCACTTCATCTTAATCAACAGCCTGCATTGATCAGGATAAATTATAGAAGGATTTGGGAGTACTGGTGGATGAAAAATCAGATATGACCCGGCAATGAGCACTTGCAGCCCAGAAAGCCAACCTTATCTTGGACTGCATCAAAAGAAGTGTGGCCAGCAGGTCAAAGGAGGAGATTCTGCCTCTTTACTCCACGCTCTTGCTACTCTGCCTCGAGTGGTGTGTGCAGCTCTGGGACTCCCAGCATAAGAAGGACATGAACCCGCTGGAGTGAGTCCAGAGATTGGACAAAAGGAAGAAAATTTTTATGATGACGGTGGTGAGACAAAGGAACAGGCTACCCAGACAAGATGTGAATGCCCCATCACTGCAAGTGTCCAAGGTCAGGTTGAATGAGGTTTTGAGCAACCTGATCTAGTGAAAGATGTCACTACCCATAACAGAGGGCTGAACTATATGATATTTAGAGATCCTTTCCACCCTGAACCACTCTGTCATTCTAAGATCCTGAATTTTACTTTTCACCCTCCAGAATCAAATGCAACACTTCTAATGCTTCTGGTGTTGTGCCAAATGATTAGAAATCTTCTACATTATTAAGCATTTCTTCCTATATGATAGAACACAAAGATGCGTATCTCAATTCAAACAAATTCAAGGCATGAAGTAAAAGCTGTTATTTGACAGCAAGCAGGGGACTGGAAGGTAATATTAAAGTAGCATAAGGAACAGCGGATTTCAAAATCATAATTACCTGGGCAGATAATCCTCGTGTTAAGTACTGGGAGGTTTTCCTTGCTTGTAGCCAAAGCTGGAGCAGAGAAGGAACCTGTCTGAGAATGGATACCTCGGCTTGTGCGTCGATCGGGAGATCTTGGTGCGGTTTTAGCTGTGCAGAAGAAGCAAAAGTAAGAGCACTAATTAGACCTATTATAACATTACTACATAGTTTTGACAGCCCTGAAAATGTTTCAAAAGGATTAATTTAATCTGTTACTATTTCAACACAAATGTCCTTCCCCCTTACACCAGAGTTTTTCTTCTAAATACAGGAAAGAAAACTCAGAAACAGATCAAGTGAGAAACACAAATCAAAAGGAACAAGTGTGCACAGCACTCAACATGAGGAGTTCCCATTTATATTTCAAGCTACCAGCAAAACTATTACATGTATTAAATGTAAATGTGTTCATATAAATCTATTATATCACCTTAAAATGCAGTAGTATTTAATGCTGCAGTAAGCTTCTTATAAACATATTACTGAAATAATAAAACTTGAACTTAAATTCAATCTATGCTTATTTATAAATATAGATATATAGTACATTACTATTTATAACAATTTTAATACAGCTATTCTAACACACAGGCCACAGAAATATCAACAGTCACAGTATTTTCTTCAGGCAGCTAAAATGGGCCCCCTGCCTGCATCAGGTTATCAAATCATCAGACAAAACTCTGACATCTTTATTTACAGCCAAACTGAAAACTGCAGGGGAAGGGAAAAAGCCATGTTCATACTTGTTTTCTGCAGTTAGAGAGATAGTGGGGGACATCTGTTTTCCACCATCTTTTTTCACAAAAAACAAACAGGCAAACAAACAAACCAGCAATTCCCAAAATAATTAACTTATTTGTTAAAATTCTCCAGAAGATCAACCAGTAAAACCTTGACAGGCAGCAAGGTTTGGTAGCCAATGTAACTGTTGTTGACAAAGGTTCAGAAAGATGAAAGGGAAAAAAATCAGGGTGAAAGAGAAGATATTCACAAAGAGTAACTAGTAGCTCAGTGAGGCCAGCTATCCCTTGGGCTGCCTCTGGAGGTGATGAAGGACAAGCTTTGCAGAGGGCTGACCTCAGGCGCTGTAATTTGCTTTCCTGGCAGACCTTGTTTCATGCAGCCTGAGAGAATATGCCAGTGCCTGCTTTAGCCTGGAGAAGGTAATCTTTGTGAAATTTAGCCCAATCAGATATAGCCAGAAATTGGTGCCACAAGGAAGCAAGCTTGGGTATTACCAAATGCTTTGTTATAGTATTTCCATGTGCACGTAGAAAGCTTTCACACAACAGATGGTCATAGACAGACACTTCTTGGCTACCTCTGCTCCAAATTATCTCACATGTTAAACCTACTTCAGCTTAGGACAACTTCAACCTTGACCATCTGAAGAAGCTCAGAACAAAAAAAATGAAATTATTTCAAGGTGATCTGATCTATTCCTCTCAAAACATGAAAACTAATTCAGCAAAAATAGAATTAGTAGGACTAGCACCTAGATAACAGCAGGAAAACAGCACCAGGAATGTGGTGGGAAGGATAGAATATATCCTTTTTAATGGCTGGAGTGGGACAGATCAGTTCATGTCAATCATAACCCAGCCTGAGAGTAATGTGGGTGTAATGTATGAAGACACTAATGGAAAAAAAACGCTGAGTGAGAAAATCTAGAGATAGAAGAAATAACTAGAACAAGGATTTAGACAGTGTGTTCAAATCAATTCAGGTCAGGATTTGTGCATTCACTTTTTTTTTTAAGTGATGATAATCTAGCATAGAACAGTCAATGGTATGGCAAATTCTTCACTTTCTTGTATCCCAGGAGTAAGATTACACACCTTTCTGGACAATCTTCTTAAGTCAAACAGAAATTATTAAACACAGGACAGAGAAAAGTGGATGGATTTTTCTGGATTGTTTTATATAAAAGGTCTGACCAAGTGGACTAACAGCTCCTCCTGACTTTAATATCTGTGTAACAGCCATAGCAGTTATCACAAAATGCTACAGTATTGCATGATAGCAATACAACATAAATGATTTGTATCTGTGCATGGCAAAACACTGTAATAATGTCAAAAAATGAAAAGGAATAAAAATGGCAAGTGATAGCCAATGAGCGTTATTAAATATTTAGATGAAGGTATTAACATATGGAAAAACATTGTCTTCATCAAATGACCAGGAAGATCCCCAGAGGGTAAACTATAACACTCAAAACAAAATTAACATTCATTTTTCGTAATACTTCTGAAAAATTCACAATACTATTCACACAGTCTGTCCTCTCTGTACTTGTGAGCAAGGCAGTTATATTAAACAGGAAATATCAACAGAGCAGCTGCTATTTATCTGACAGATGAGAGTCACGGGAATAACTGCAATAAAGATAAACTTTTGCTGTGAACGCTCTGATAAAAATAATGGAGCTCTAATGAGTAAAACTGATGTTTCAATGCAGATAACTGAATTCATGTTTCATGCTTTGTCCCTAAACATCTATCGTCCACTGACAGCATTAATATGCACTCTATTTCACACAGATACATGAAGAACAATACAGACTCCTATTAAATGCAGAAATTATACTACCAAGAAACAAGGAGTTTAATATATTTCTACACATGTGTATATTTTTCTTTTATAATACAGTTATGGCAGTAGGATTGGGTCATCTGTAGGGTCAGCATCCTCTAAGAGCTACTACTGAAGAGAGACAACCAACATGCATTAATTCCTCTAACCAAGGGAAAAGGAAAGGGAGCAATGAAGAGACAGTCACTGGAGAAAGCCCGACACACATTTCTGGAGAAAATGTGAGTTTCTGGGTTAAGAGAAGCCCTAAAAGCCTAATGTCTTATTTCTAAGGTAGGATCTATTGACACAGGCACTAGACTAGCTTCAGAGCTTCAGAGCAGAGCCTCATGAGGACAAGTTTTGAGGAAGTTAGTGTGGGTTAGGGTAACAAAGGGTGATGCAAATCCCAAACAACTTTTCTCATTTTGTCACAAGAAGTTGCTCACGATGTAACTAGAGGATGGGCTTTGCTGTCCACCAGCTGCCACTGTTTCTCCATGACTCACAGATCATCTGGTGACCCCACCTGCAATGCATCACTGTCCACTTTGATAATATGGCAAAGACTGAAATTTCCACCTAATATTGAGAAGCAGCTTTCCTAAAATTACTATGTAGCTTGGGACTCAAGTTGTCTATGACTGAGACGTGCTATTGCCACCACTACCTAGGCTCTAGCTCCTGCTCAGGTTCATGTAGAAAGGCGAGTATAAACACCAAATTAATTCAGGCACTTCTCTCCCCAGCAAATACCTTTTCAGCTTTGCAAACACATTCTAATCTCCCTCATTTTTTCTTCAACTTTTATTTATCCAAATCTATTAAAATTTGTGACTAGTTTCCAATGAAACAGGATGCTAGTATTGTTAATTATGGAGCCAATTATGCTCCAAATGCAATTATAAGGAGACTGTATATTTTTATTTCATTCCTAATTTGCTCACTTGATGGGGACTCAAGTTCCTTTGTATCTTCCTCTTTTTCCTCTTCCTTGGATTCATCCAATTCTTTGCTGTATTCTACTGGAGATTGATTCACTTGTTCTTCGCTGTGAGCATTCTGCTCATCCACAACTGCTTATTAAAAGAAAAAACAGAAAGTTTCAAGATTTTTAAAGAAAAAATGCATACACGGAAAACCAGCTTTTCTTTTTTGTAGCTTTAAGTTAAAAAATATTAACAAAAGAGTTCTATTGCTAATTCAGTGAAAGAGTCTATCAGTTCTCTGCAGTTGATGAAGACTTGCTGTCAGAATTTTTGAGGGGGGATAATAGTTAAAAAAAATGCACACTTTCACATGTGCACACACATGCATACATAAGTACTCACACCTGCAGACAGTCATCAACATTCAAACAAGCTGCATTTCTTTTCCTTGCAGCTTGTAGAAAGCACATAATTTTATCTACGTAAGAATGTAGAAATCAAATTTTATAATAAATACTTATTCTAGTTAGGAAAAAACCCCAAACAAACATCACGATCCTATCATATTCTACAAATACAGATCAAAATGTTGCTGACGTGCACCTTTTTCTGCTTGTTCAATGATCTGCCTCACAGCCTTCTTCAAGCTGTTTGCTCGAAGCATTAACTGTTCCCTCGATTTGAAGAGTTTCTGGGTGGAAGACTTTGAGACACACTCCACTAACTGCTCTTTACTTTCAGAAAAGGATTCTTCACTTGAAAACTCCTCTGCTTCTTCTTCCACAATGGGGGGAGCAATGCCTGGGAGAATGGGATCAGCCTGGGCTTCTGTGTGAAGTGCCTGGAGCAATAGGTCTAGCTTCTCATTTAATTCTGAGCACTAAAACAAAGTAGAAAAGAATACACACACACCCCAAAAAAAAAAAAAATCAACAGTGAACATGTGAACATTTTCAAGAGTTAAGGTACCAGGTCATATTTGAAACTGTAGGTGTCTTTAGTCTATCTAATTCCTTATGTACAATCCAAACTGAGGTTCAACATTTTGGAATATCAGATTGTGAGTAGGTCTTCATGGGTTTTTTTTGCAGACCTACTCTGTGACATTTAATTAGATTAGAGCAATTATAACACAAAACCCCTACACTCAGATTAAAATAACACATCATGCTAAACTCAGCCTGCCACATAAGTAGAGTACAGATTAGATGTGACTCCTCTCCCAATGGCTTGCAGCACAGAAAGCCACCAGAGGTTTGCCCATACTGTGCATTATGGGTGCTCAGTACCCCATTTTGGAGAGATGATCCGTGGAGACATGACCAGCTGTTAGACTGAGACCCACTGGGTTGTTTTTGAAAGAGAGTTGTGCATTTAAGCAAGTTAGTTGCCACAGAGCAAAGAACCAGATGCTGTCAAACACCTCTAGCCAACAGTAAGTAGCTGCTCTCTCTAGGTGCACTGGAAATGATTTTCTGTGCTTAAATTAATGAAAACCAACACTGTCTGGCCTTAGAACAGTAAAAAAGAAAAACTCGTTTTCTAAAATATGTGCCAGATAGAAATGTGAACCACAAATTGCCACTTAGCAACTACATTTTCTGACTGGGACCGTCAGGGATTTTGTTTTCTTCTTTTTTTTTCAGCTTTTGTAAATTTTGTGTCTCATACTAACTCCTGTCATCTTTTCCCCCGATGTTTTTGCAACATGATCTCTACATTTTGCAGCTTAACACACTATTTTTAGCACTGTGGTCTCTCTCTCCTTCATTCTGACAGCATACTCACTCTTCATTATCCCACTGTTTTCCTTCAGCTAACTTAATCCCTATAACTCCTAATGCAAAAAAATCCTTTCATCTCTATGTATGCTACCATGAACTTTTTCCTTTATGAAAGAAGAAAGTCTAAACAGTTTATAGAGATTCAGAGATTAAAGACAGTTTGGAAATAACTGTTCTATGCAGTAAGAAGAGAAGAATTTTAAAGTCACTGGTTGAAATGAAAGCCAGGCTGGGCATCTTGGAGCAATGTGAAAATTAAACACCCATGAGCTATAAACTTTAAAAAGCCAACAACTTTAAACCTCAACATAGTCATAGGCTTACTTTAATGGCCATGGCATCAGCTTCCTCTGCATTTTCCATTGGTTTTTCGTAAGTCTTCCCTATTTTGGCAACAAAGTCCTTTACAGTTTCACATAATATTCTTCAGATGAAAAAAGGAGAGGGGAGAAATCAAATGAAATAAAATAGATATGTTTTGAATGTTAAATTCTTATGACAATGTATTCATATGCACACTGCTATAAATCATTCTTACTGGAAACTGAACTTTGTGATCATACTTGCAAATCAGATGACACTCTTTTTCATAGCTTGCAAAATTGAAGTGATAAGCTTTAAAACAAAAACTCTTCCTCTCTTTTGCTTATGCCTTTGCACACATTGTATCTCAGTCTCTTATCTCAAATAAACACGACTGATTTTATCCATTCCCTCGCCTGTACACCTTCCATACCAGAGGACTTAGCAAACTTGCATTCACTGTGATAATTTCAAACGCAGTCATGCCAACTCCCATTCAAAGATGGAGCTTAGAAACTGTGGAGAAAATCTACTGACTTGAATGGAGTACTTAGATGAAAGCATATGGCCACACACATCCCATTGCACAGCTCGTGCTTTTGAACCATAGCTGACCCTGAAGCATATTTAGTGGCTGCAATGAATTTCCACTGTGTGAATCAGGAAGACTTGGTTCTTATTACCTACGCTGAAGACAGACAGCAAACTCACTAATGAGGTGTGGATAATTGCAAATACTGTTCATTTGGTTGACATTTATTTGACAGAAATTAAACAGATTTAACAAGATACAGACCCTGTTTAGAAACTGGAGTTGTAATAATATCCTGCATCCTTATTTTCTACATGTGCTACGTATACCTTAAAAATGAAATTTTGTTAACTTCATCTTTTGCATATTGCAAAATATAAGGTTTTTTTCATTGAGAAGGTATACACAGAATAGTTCTGGTTTCAGATGATGTCTGAGATTTGCCAATTCTCTCTCATTTTAAATTGTTTCAGTCTGGGGAAAAAAAACCCATTACTGTCTGAGACCACTATTGATTGAACTGATATAGACAGAGCTACAATAAAGCTACCTAAGCTGAAGTTCTGCTTCACACTGGTGAAGCTGTTTGTCCTCTTAAACCTATGGGTATGCATTAAAAAATAGCCAGAAGAAATGCAATGTGGAGTAGATCACATATTTGCATTAGGAACGCTCAGTTTCATATTGAAGCCATACATTGATTTGGAGTGATTTTAAATCACTTTATATTAATATTGTGTGATTTTTTTTTAATTTAGTATTAAGTAATCCATTACAACTGTACCATACAAAAATTTTGCATAAAAACCCCACATCCACTCTAAAAGATATAAATTAAGATATATTAAGCCAAGCCAGTTGGGCTAGCCGTAAGAAAATCAGGCTAAGACAGAAGGCTATTATGGTGATGATGTCACACAGGAGTTTATCCCACACATTGTACATGACACTGATTGACTCACTTGGCAGATGATATGACAACTGAGTGCTGATCAGAATTGAGAATTTTTGCAAGATGAGCAGCAACTGAGTCCTCATAAGCAGATATCTGAAAACAGAGAGAAGAGACTTCAATTTCCACACATTTCAGCAGTTTAACACCAAGTAGTGAGTTTAAACACATCAAAAAAATAGCAGGATTTTAATTTCAGATCTAATAGAAGGACAAGTGGCTGGTAGTGCAGATTCCACCTGCATACTGTATTTTATGTGCCAGATCTTTAATATTCAAAGTAACACTGCATCTAAGAACTTAATCCATAGCTCTTTTTCTCCTGTAGAGAAAACAGTAAGTTATTTCTAGGCTAAAAACAGTCCATGAGGCAGAAAAAATTTACCTTCTTCTCAGATTTATAACAACTTAAAGTATTACAATCCTACATCTTTTATTTCTAAAATAAGCAAAGTTTTCCTCAAACAAATTGATCAACTAAGAAAAAAATCAAATGTTTGCAGTTATAACCTGGAATTTTCTTTTTACTGTCAGACGGGCTCTCACTCCCCAAGTACCATGACTGAAAAAAGCTGCTAAACTGTATAATGTTACCAAAACCAATCCTTGCAGGGAAAACCATTTAGAGATAGTATTTAAAAGAACATGAGGAATTACAAATTCTGAAATACTCAGAAAAAGATTTGGAATGGATCAGAAATGCATCCTCACACACCATATCCTATCTCAAAATAGCTATGGACCCAGACCTCAATTTTTAAAGAAAATTCTAACCAAATTCCAAATCTAAAGCTAAAAATAAGAAATAAATGCAGTTCTAAAATATTCTGATGGCTTCTCTTAAAATGTCTTAGCATGTTTTTGTCCTTGATTTTGAATAGGTTGATATACCACTTTGTTTTTTTCTCTGAAAATCCAGCCTTTGTTGTAGAACTCTGACAAGCGAATCAGTTTTCATTTAAAGGGAAAAAACAAGAGATAACCACTGATCTGTAAGAATGAACTAACGTTTTTCAAATATCAGTATAAGAATTCTGGAAATCAAGTGAAATTAGTCTCCTGAAACTACTGGAGGAAAAGGGGGGGAAAGAATCAGATATATACTTCCATTTGCTTTTCAAACTGTGATTTAACACAATACCTGCTGTAAGGTTAATTATTATTTTTCTGAAATACCATAACTCAATAAACAATGCAAAAAACCTACTGAAATAGAGATTCAACAAGGTACTCAAAAGCAAATGGTACTCAAGTAATGACAGGTAATATAGGCTTCAGAATACATTTTCCAAAAGAGAAGTTTTATAAGAGCAGTTCCTTCCATTTTCAGAAGGGGCTAAAAAAAATTTCAAAGCCAGAAATAACTAGAACAAAATGATGATGAAGATGCGCTTGAAAATTTTAACTGTCTTGAAAAATTAGAGAAGATAAAAGCCTTGATCTGTGTTGCTGACACCAGAGGCAGAGCTACATGCAAAGGAACCCTGTTAAAATCCCAGCATCTCTATATCCAGCAATCCATCAAAGGTTATAACCTCCTTGCCAATTAAAAGAGCCTGAATTATTAAATTATTCAAGAGCCTGCTGATTAATTATTGCCTCTCAAGTACTTTTGAGTTAAAATTGATATGCATTAGTTTTCTCAGGAATATATTATTTTCTCATTTTTAGTCAGACTTTTCATGCCAATTAATTTGATTAAAACATCTCCCTCTCTCTCAAAATTGAAACCTCATCAGATAGTACAAGCTTTTCTTTGATGATGCTTACGATTTTCAAGCTCTCTGAAGAACAAAGAGAAAATTGGATCATATCACTTGATCAAACTCAAGCTGCAAAAAACTTCTCTCTTTCTTTAGGAATACAACCCTTGTCTCTAAAATGCTGGGGTTTTTTTCAACACTTATTCCAAACTCAAGATAGCAGACATTTTGATTTTATATATAATGTATTTTAAATATTTATATATATATATAATATATTTATATATTATATGTATAATATTATACAGTAACATACTACCAAATTATACTATAATATACAACATCATATATAATATATACACTTATATATAATAATTATATAAAATATATAGTACTATTATATTACATAATTATACAATACTACATTCTTGCATAACAAATTATATAATATATAATTTCTAATACATATTAAAATATACATATATATTCAGGAAGAAATTTTTCTGACTGTTTTGCTGAAGACTCCTTACCTTCATTCCTTCTTGGCAAATAATACAGAACTGGAAATGCTAATTACTTGAGATACACAGCATGAACAGTCATAAATTCAGTTCAGTTAGGAGATCACAAAAATGCTTCAATTACAGTATTGTCAGCCCAGAAGCTCCAAGTTAAGTACATGAAACAACAGAACAAAAGTAAAAGTCCACCTGGCACTCCTCTGACTCTTCTGCAGACATTGGAAGAATAGAAGGCTTTGCTGGTAATTTCAGTTCATATGACATTATACTCCACCTGAAAGAAACACAACAGCTTTAATTAAGTTTCCAGTTCATTATTTTTATCTTCTGACATATTAACAAAAAGAAAATTCACCGTCACACCACAGAATAACTTGTTAAAAAAAAAAAAAGGCAGCTTAATTTTTAATTGTATACTTAATGGGTGAAATAATTGAGATTAACGGTAATAATTTGTTCAGATTATTTGTTAGTGATTTGATTAATAGTCTCATTTGGGAAAAAATCATGGGACATTCAATAAAGGCAATAAAGATATTCTAGAAAAAAATTTACATTATAAAACAATTTGTGCAAACTAACTGCAGAAGTCAAAGGAAAATAGATGTCTTCCTAGAGAAAAAGTTCTAAGATGACATTATTTTTTCATCTCAACTAGGGGAGGCAGGCATGAAAACAAAGAAAATGGTGAAGAATCTTCATTGACATATATATATATTTTTCCCCTGGTAAAGGACAGCACTTAACAGCATAGATAGTACGAAACCACTAATAGTAACAACATCCTTCAAAGCGTGCTGAAAAGAATAAGTAATCACTGCAGATGTCCTTGGGAGTAAGTCTACTGAAATTAGACCAAAAAATGAAACTGAGCTTTTTTTCAGTACAGAAAAAAGGAAACATCATTTAATCTACAAATCTTCCAGAATCTGAGGATCAGTAACAAGCATTTCTCTACATACTTTGATTTAAAATGATCAAGTAGCCTGCAGAAAACCTTAAAATAAAAAAAGAACTTGTTTCTCTATTTCATAAAAATAAAGTAAAATTCCCTTTGATGACATTCAAGTGTTTGTAACTAGAGCAAGAAAACAAACGCTCATGAGAGGGGACTGAGTGTACCATTAGCAAATTTGCAGATGACACCAAGGGGGGAGGGGAGAGCGTTGATCTGCTGGAAGGCAGGAGGGCTCTGCAGAGGGATCTGGACAAGCTGGAGAGATGGTCTGATTCCAGTGGGATGAGGTTCAACAAGGCCAAGTGCCGGGTCCTGCACTTTGGCCACAACAACCCCCAGCAGTGCTACAGGCTGGGCACAGAGTGGCTGGAGAGCAGCCAGGCAGAAAGGGACCTGGGGGTACTGATTGACAGGAAGCTGAACATGAGCCAGCAGTGTGCCCAGGTGGCCAAGAAGGCCAATGGCATCCTGACCTGGATCAGGAACAGTGTGGCCAGCAGGACCAAGAAAGTGATTCTTCCCCTGTACTCAGCACTGGTGAGGCCACACCTTGAGTACTGTGTCCAGTTCTGGGCCCCTCAGTTCAGGAAGGATATTGAGGTGCTGGAGCAGGTCCAGAGAAGAGCAGCGAGGCTGGTGAAGGGATCGGAGCTATGAGGAGAGGCTGAGGGAGCTGGGGTTGTTTAGCCTGGAGAAGAGGAGGCTCAGGGGAGACCTGAACTCTCTACAACTCTCTACACTCTCTACAACTACCTGAAAGGAGGTTGTGGCCAGGTGGGGGTTGGTCTCTTCTTCCTGGCAACCAGGATCAGGACAAGAGGGCATTGTCTTAAGCTCTGTCAGGGGAGGTTTAGGTTGGATATTAGGAAGAAATTCTTTACAGAGAGAGTAATCACACATTGGAATGGGCTGCCCAGGGAAGTGGTGGATTCACCATCCCTGGAGGTTTTTAAGATGAGACTGGATGTGGCACTTAGTGCCATGGTCTAGTAACGACAGAGGTGTTGGATCAAGGGTTGGACTTGATGATCTTGGAGGTCTTTTCCAACCCAGTTGATTCTATGGTTCTATGAAAGAAACAGAGTAAGAAATACTCCTCTCACAAGCAGTGCTAGACCTTCATTGGAACAACATGAGCATCGGCCTCTGACTTTTTTCAAATGGGGATTGCTCCTCTCCTATGAATGCTGCTATGGATGGATATCATGCAAAACAAGGACTGGGAAAGTCTCATTTTTGACTAAGAAAATTAGCTCAGCATCTTGTCCATAGCTGATGCCTCAGAAAATTATATGAAGAGTGAAAGCACACAAGGTGATTTTTACCCCACATCCAAGGACAGAGAGTTCAGGTGTTTCCTAAATAAACATGCCACCTTTAGTGTTGTTTAATAGCATGCATGGAATCCATAAAACTGCTCAAAATACAATTTCTTAATGCTTACAACTTCTTGTAACAGGTAGTTATGCAGCTTCATCAGTTATGCAATAAACTGTCACCTTCTGAATGTCTTTGGACAACATGCTTCCTAGTTCCATCAACCACTTGTTCGTCTGACTCTTCAGTTTAAAAAGTATGCTAAAGAGCTGTCCCCATTGCTATCTCTGCCTCCCTCATGATTAAGATCTGCACTTAAAAACCAAACCCACTGAACACGAAGTCTCTAAGATGGATTTTAGGCCATCAGAAACCCGAACAAATACAATTTGAATCTCGTGGTAAATCACATTTAGGTTTACCTGTCTAACATTTTCGTGCTGGCTCGTTCTAGTTTTTCCAAAATCTGAGGAAGCTGCGTATCATCATCACAGGATCCTCCCCAACCAAGGACACGAGCAAGGTCGTTTCCGGTACCAAGGGGTAACACTCCTAACTGACACTGAAACACAAACAGGAAAAAATCTACTACTGAGAACTAAGAAGAAAAAGTAAAAGTGATTCCAAATGCTTGTTATTTCAATCAACTAATATTAGTTATATAGGATGTCTAAAGCATGTAAGTCAAATTGTACAATTCCAATACAACTTGTCCTATTTATACCAGTAAAAACTTTCATTTAACAGTAACTATGGAGTTTGACCCATCTACAGAGATGACAAAGAACCAAATCAAGGAAAAGGTAAGCACACAAAATTAAATCTAGTCAGTATAGGCAAGGAAACTTAGTATGCACACTTGCCTGCTTGTGCAAGCTGAGCTTATCAATTTCTGACAAGACCCAACCCACGCTTCCATCGCCACCACACACAAGAATCCTGAAGTTGTCAAACTTCTGAAATAACCGCAAACTGTAGAGAAAATGCAGCCTGTTAGAGCCAGTTACGTCCATTAGCAAAAGAGCAGTTGCATTCATTAGCAACTGCTACGAGAAAATATGGTACACGGCATCTTTATGGTCCTTCTTTTACTGTTCTGGGGTACGTGGATACAACCATCTACTTAATTAACCTATCTGCAGCCCACCCATTGCTGTATATTCCACTTATACTGACATTTCTGATAAATAACATGCCAAGTTCTTCTTTAAAAAATTCTCTTGATATTGTTTTCAGGATTTTATGTCTTATTTTATTAATTTTATTAATATCTTAAAAAAAATAATCTAAGTGATAAAATTGCAACTGCTCCATGTTTCTCACTTCAGCCAGGAGCATAAGGCACCACTGGGAACTTTTCATGAGAAGAGGTTAAGACACAATGACAGGATGTGCTCCACAATACAGGTGGGCTTTTGTTGACACACGGCTAACTAAATGTAAGGACCACTGGAGGCAATTATTAAACATAAGGTGATCACGACAATATAGGACCAATAATACAAGTATTTCATATTAGATCCTTAAAGCCATATTCTGCTTTTGCTTCCTATGGCTCTTCCTCCTGTTCTCTGACTTTTAACACCTCCAGGATACAAGACTTGGACAGAAAAGGAGGACAAGAGAGAGAGAACAAGCAGAAAGGTGAGACACAGAGGAAACAGGAATGAGACGTGAAGAAAAAGCCAAGGGTAAAAACAACAGGGATTTAAAGTGAAAAAAAAAATTAAAAAAAATAATTGGACAGTATAAACTCTTAAAATATTAACAATAAAGATGTTTATTTTTAATGCATGTTATTTTCCAGAATATGTATAATCTCTGAACCATTTCTACAAAGCAACATATTAAGATCATAAATGTTAGAAGCATTCATATTGTTTCTGAAGAAAATAATGTCACTTGCATACAATACACAGATACCTACTAAGAACAAAAGGGGCAGCTATTTAAGGGGAAAAAACATTAATACCAGAACAATTTCTCCTACCCTGAGAAAAGGGAGAAAGCCCCTAGAAATACACTGTCTCATACAATGCAACTCTGCCTTGTACATCAAATAGAAAAAAAGAAGACATCAACACAACTTGATAGAATAACTGCTAAGGACCTATCTTTTAAAAGCAATCAACCTGACCTACAATTACTGTGCAAAACCAAAACGAGCCTCCTAAGCCATGGTACACCTATATGAAGGAAGAGAACTTGCAAACATATTTCTCAGCATGTCCTCTCTCAAAGATTGCCTCACCAATTAAGATGAATTTTATATGTCATTATAATTACATGTACAAAATATTAGCTAAAAGTCACTTAGATTCAGCTCAGATTGTCAGGGCAATAATGAAAAGGATATTACAACTTAAAAAGTTAATATAACATGTCCATAACACAGTACTAATTACAAAAATCCACAGCTGTATTCCATTATTTTTGTATTATTTGCCCACTGTTTCAACTGAATTTTTGTGCATTTGTTTCTTCTATGTTTTTATCATAAAGCAGAATTCTGCATCTTTAAGAGTATAAAAATTAGTGCTTCTAGTTGCTGTAACTTATATTAATAGGCCATTTAACCACAACACTACATCTGAGTGGAATTAATTTGGGCAACAGAAAATGGGCATGAATTTAATCTTTGTGAATGTGCAAAGATGCCTGGGATGTGGTCAACACTATGCAAACTTCATGCCTCTCTCTCCAGCAATCAACCCTTAGATTCTGTAGAAATGCCTGATTGTTTTAATTGTGTTCTTGCTCCAAATTCTATGCGATGGTCATTTTCTTGACCATTTGCACATGTTGCCTAAACCATATTTTGGATGTACTTTTCAGAAGACAAAAGTTTTCACGTACTTTTCCATCACCCACTGAAGACTCCCCTGCTGACATTTGTGTTCAGAATTCAAAAATATACAGAGCACATTTAGACAACAATTTTATTCCATAGCTATTCACAACAAAGTCACAGGAATATCTGAATTACACACGTGAAATGGAAGAAAAGCACCCAGGCAACTGTGCATAAGAGCCTTGATTCAGGAAGACATCTAAACATTTGTAATAGTTTTGAGCCTAATCAGTTAACAGAAGTCAAAGCTAGTCAAAGCTAACCAAGAGCTTTGGGTTTTGAATTTTTGACCTTTTCTAAAAAGAAAATATTATCCTATAATCCCTTCACCCACCGGAATTTTTCCTGAAATTCTGTTATGTCTTAGATTTTAATTAGGAAGACAGTAGATATTGGCGACAGAATTATATCAGCAAGGGGATATAACACTATATAACAAGGGGAACACCAGACTATACTTTGCACTAAATTCCCTTGTGGAAAGGATTGCTCAAGATTTCCAAGGTCATTACCCTAAGTGAGGTCCTCCATTCATTAAATCGAACACCTGAGCTGGATTTAACGACTGTTTGAATCGACGAAGAAACTTTACTCCCTGATTGTCTCCACTCTTTGAGTTAACAAAAACTAAAAGAGGACTGGCACAGGATGGCGGGCATGTGGCTTTCCAGAAACCTGTGAACATAGTTAGAAAGAATGAAATAAATAAGATGTTCTAATATGAACAACACAAAAAGAAATCATGAGAAAAAGGAAGGAGGGGATGAAGGACAAAAGAAGTACATTTTATCATGCATAATGTAAATGCTAATCAGAGTATTAGCCCTGCAAGGAAAACATAATTGTGCAAAATCTAGCAGTTCATTTTTTTTCTTTCTGGTATTTTCAGTGCCTAGATTTAGTAAAATCCTGAAGACAATAGCATTATTATTTTTCAACAGTGGAAGTTTATTAACCTTTTAGAATACTTCTGAAATCTCATCTTCACAGATTATCACATAATTAAATATATATTTCAGTTACAAGTTACAAGCTTGGTTTTCAATCTTATTTTGCTTTAACTTAACTGGGATGAACTGGATCATCCACATCTGTATGACCCTTCTAGGAGTACTCACAGATTTTAAAACTTACTTGTACTCAATTCCTCCCAGGTGAGACTTTGCATAAGAACTTTCTTTTTAGAGTGAAGTTATACTATTAAATATAATAGAATCACTGATCAACAGACCTCCAGCTGTGATTAAATATGTGATTGTAAAAGTCAATGCAGGTCTTAACTAATTACAGCAGGCTTTCTACAAGGTCCTTAGTAAGAAGTACTAAGGGACACTTGTCACTAACATGACCAGTCCATGGAAGTAGTGGTTTCTCAGCAACACTTCAGATATCACTAGTATAGGTTTTGACATTTGTCTCCAGCAATATTAAAATGACTGTTGATTTATTACTAAAAAATACTAAAGCTACAAATAAAAAATTGGCATTAAAGGATGCTAATTTCATTCCGCATTATCACAATGTCTAATTTAAAATAAGGTTTGAGTAATTTATTTAAATGCCAAGAAAAATAATTTCACATAAGGAACAATCTTCCTAGCATGAGTAATAAATAGCAGAATGATGTCTAAGACACCACATAGCAAGTGAATAGAGTGAATATATCCAGAATAAAGAATCACTTTTACTAACTCCATATGACAAAATTCATTGAACTGTGTTAAAGCTGTTGGTCTATATTTAGTAACAATACAAACTATAAAATTAAAGCAGTTGAGATTTCATGATACTCCTTATTTAAATCCACCCTCTGCCTTGAAGTGCTGTCTCCCACTGCTCATGCATCTCTATCCTGAGCCACCAAAAAACATCTCTGAATTTTGAACATTTGCTGGGGTTTTATCTGTGTGTTGCAGGATTCTTATGTTGCTTACATTTAAAAAAAAAATTAGAGAAGCTATGGAAACATTTCCTCTCTTAAGCCTGATAAAGTAGTTGTTGGATCTGAGATGTTCAGCTAGCTTACCTCTGCATAATGCAAAGTTATCTGAAATTTGAGAACTCACAGAATGAGTGGTGCATGCCAGGCAGGCGTCAGCTCACTTCATCTGAGGACTATCATCATTCACTTGAAAAATTTCTAAGGTTGGAAATAAAATGGGAGAAAATTTCCACTGGGGAAACTTCCAAAAATATTTTTAAAAATACGGTGGCTAAATAATTCTCTAAAACCCTACACACAGAATTATACTTCTCTTGGAAAATTTGAGGACTACATTCACCTGCTCAGCAGAAGGATTTTAGTCTTGTTTATTTATACGGACCTAAATAGACACTGCAAGTCCAGAGCTACCGCTGAGCACACTACAGTACTACGTACCATCGGAATCTATACTGTTTAGTGCTGTTGGAGGTATGATCGATACCTTACATTGGCCAAGTGGACATTTACGAGGATAGAGATCTTTACAGGCAGTGTGAACCTACAAAATAAACAAGAAGTTATTTTCCTCCAGTAGAATTTTGAGGTGAAAATATAACTGATACAGTATTTATGTAACAAAAATGGACTCGTATATAACATTTAGGTGTAGAGGGAAGAGGAGTGAGACAATAAAAAACTCACAAATGTTCAACCGCAAAGGCTTGTCACTCATTCAACAAAACATTATTTTGGAGAACTTCATCTTCAGCTACGCTTGTAGCAGATACGAATTGTCCTTTCAAGGGAGTCACTTGCTCCCATCCATGAGGAAGGGAGAACTAAGTTCCCAGCAGCCAACATCTGTGTTGGTTGCAGCAGCTACCCTCTGCACATGCAAAACAATAGCTCTGTACCTGCCCGGCCCACTAGGCTGTTCTGGAAGATGTATCTGCATCAAATCTAGCACACCTACCAAGCCAGACAGCCTGTCAAAGGTGGGTCCTATGAACTCCATGTTTTAGAGGTCTCTTCCACAGATACTGGAAGGAGAGGCACATGCAGAGGAGGTTGCTGCACTTCACCTAAATTTCAAATCACCTCTGGAGATGCCAATCATTTCCTACTGCCTACACACAAAGCCTGAAGCTTCAACAATAAATAAACTGCCAGAAGCTTCAACAATAAACTGCTGACTTGCATAAGAAGCCCATCTTTTTAGACAAGTTCATAAAATAAAGAGAAAACTATATATTGGGGAAACAGCAGTAGTATGTTATAGGATTTCAATCAGCAACCTACAGACTGTACTGAAGAAGAGAAAGTCAAGATTTCGCACTAATAAAAATATTACTACATTAATATTAATAAATATTAATATAGCATATAAAATACAAGAAAGTAACATATTAGGATTAAGGAACAGGCATCTGAACATTCAGTTATCAGCTAGCAGAAGGCAGAGAAAACACACTGGATGACAACACCTATTAAAGAAAAGATGCATCTGTGGGCAAATAAAAAATTAACTGAAGCAAGTAGGACAGTCATCAGACATTCTGAATGCTAGAGAGACCTGAGTTTGCAGAAGCTGCCTGCTCCTACTTAATCCAAAAGCACAGTTACGAAATGGCAAAATAAAAATAATGGTGAGCAATAAAGCTGACAAAATCCTAGATGCTTGGACGTGATTCACTGCACCTACCATAGCTTTACACCAAAGGCACTTCCAATCTTGCAGGCGTAAAACACTGCCACAAGTCTTGTCACAGACTGCACATTTGGCACTGACGGGCAGATTACCCTCTAACCACTGGTGAGGCATAGCTATCTGTGGAGAAGTAGTCAACAAAGTTAAATACCCCGAAATAGAAATTAAAGGCTTTTGTCTCTCAAATATAGGTGGATTTAAACTATTTCTCACAGCTGTACCCTTTCATCAAAGAAGCAGCTAGTCAGCCAGGATAAGTGACACTAATGCTTACAAGGCAACAGCAATGAATGTGGACTACTGTGGTGTTTCACATGCTAGGCAGAAAACATGACACCTGAAGAGGGGAGACACATCTCAGTCATGGTACTATGGTAGCAACTAACCATGAAACAACAGAACAGTTAAGTCCAGAGACTCAGTAATACAAACAAGTTCCCATTCAGTTAAGGTTGATTACATGACACAAACCAATTAAAAATAACTAAAATTTGGAAAAATATGCAGGACAGCAGAATACCTCTATGGCTTTACTTACTCGCTAACCACGGCTAGTAAATCACAGCTTTATAAAGCAGTCTGTAAATGCAGTGCAAAGCTTTACTCAGTGCATTCTTTGTCCTGTTAATACCACAGGCAACTCAGGACACTCAGGTGTGCAACACAGCACCAACTTTCTAGAAAAACGTTTCACACCAGTGGCTCATACTTGGTTGTGTTTGTAAAAATAGCTCATCTATCACAATAAACCTATTAAAAGCTTTTGTTGTTTTCTCCTGCTAATTTTAAAATTCCTGCTTTCATCGGCAAAAAACCACCCTGCAACCCAGTGAATTCCAAACAGGTCTCCTGGGGAAGAGCTATAGGTAGGAGGACACAAAACAGATTGCCAAAACAGCATGGTAATAGTGCAAAATACCACCTCTGCTTAAGAGCAGTAGGAACTTCTGTGAACAATTCTCCAGCTTCAGAGTTTCTCTGCATGTGGCCTTTAAAGGCTTATAATACAGCTGCAATCTAGTGCCTGCAGTTGCTAGACTTGTCTTGTGAGATAGGAATATAACTTTTATTCTAAATACCATGTTAATCTTTGAAAAGTGGTCAGGAAAATAGCCACCTATAATTAACTTCAATGGGTCACATGGCAATATTTCTATGCTTAGCCTTTTTTTGTTCCCCTAAAGAAGAAACAGCTTTGGAAAATACTGCAAATCTGGATAGTACTTACGCCATCTTCATCTTCAATGATGTCTTTTCCAATTGAGGCTAATGTGGTCCATTTGCAGTTATTTGTTGCTCGGACAGCACATCTTTTATGTGCTTTAAACTTACACACTAGAAGACACGCAGAAACACATATATCATGTTATTTGCTGTATTTCAGTGATACATACCTTTTAAAAAACTAAACACAGATATTCCATAAAACAGCCAAGTACATGTCACCTAGTGTTGCACACATGATACTACCCAACTAAATGAAAATTCAGTTCATAATCACTCCAGCTTTAACCCCCTAAACTGGGTTTAACTGCTTAGCTATAGCCCATGCTAATTGTGTCCTCAAATCCACATCAGTCCCCATTTTTTCAGGTGCAAGGTACAAATATATCTTTAACTATGGGTTTGCCTTTTCTATTCCTCCAGTGACATAACTCAGAGATCTGGTTTAAATTTGCAAGAGGTGACGAGAGAATGTTTTACACAAGTATTTTGAGTCAGGGGCTCTGTTTCTTTGCTCAAAGGATGCCTGTGGGGCATCATACTAGGCCTGTTTTATCAGAAGATGAGAAAGTGAGAGGTTAGGTGGTGATATTTTTATTCAGGATACTGGAGGTTACAAGACTTTTCAAGAGCTTACAATAAATGAGGAAGAGCCTGACTTCTTACTGGATTACTTACTAAAAGTCTACTAATTGGAATATCTATCACAAGTGTGTAGTACAGGCAGACACTTAGACAACCTAATAACTGAATTTTGTTCAACACAATTAATACGACTAGTTAATGACAGCATATTAGACCAAACAGACTGATGCACCCAACTGTGGGTATTTCTTTTCCTGGAAGTGCATGACATCATTCTATTTAGAGTGCATTATATAAATTATTTTGGCAAAGACCATTAAAGGTTTATGAGGACTAGCCAGCAGACCTGAAGTAGTAGTCTCTTTTCAAACAAATATTTGACAGGAAATTGCCAAAAGCTTTGGCCCATCATTTATCCACCATTAAAAAACATTAAGCCATGGTACAAAAGGTCTGGTGAATAATAAATTTCCCATTTTAATTCCACCGATCCATTGCCAGATCAATTTAAAAAGTGAATTGAGACTATGTAAGCAACATCTGAGTTTGAGAGCAATCCTCACTGTTCTGGGAGATGTGTGAAAGTAAGTGCTTAGCTCTCACTTTCTTACTTTCTAGAAAGAAAGACAATGAAAAAAAAAAAAGCTCTGCTGCTTTTACAGTAACTCCCCTGGTCATTTCAAAAAGCATAATTCATAGAATCATACAATTATTTGGGTTGGAAAGGACATTTTAAGATTATTTAGTTCCACCCCCCCTGCTAAGGGCTGGAACATCTTTCACTAGACCAGGTTGCTCAAAGTCCCATCTAGCCTGGCCTTGAACATTTCCAGGGATGAGGCATCCACAGCTTCTCTGAGCAACCTGTTCCAGTGCTTCACCACCTTCACAGTAAAGAATCCCAATTCTCTCAGCCTTTCCTCATAGGAGAGCTGCTCCAGCCCTCTGATCATCTTTACGGCCCTCCTCTGGACTCACTCCAACAGGTCCATGGCCCCTAACATAAGAAGAACATGGACCTGTTGCAGCAAGACCAACATAGACCCAAAGTGTTCAAATATCAACTAAAAGGGTAGGCTTACATTTTCTAAACAGCTGTGTGTTTGCCAACCTAAGCTGGTTCCAAGCATCTAAAGAAGTCAGCTCTCATAAAAGCACAGAAATAAAGGCTGCATTTTCAAGTGATGGACCTTCAGCAGTTTCACCATTTGAATGTTTTGGAGAAGTTTTGCCACTGAATTCAGCTTCCTACTCATAAATGATATGCATTTGCTTTGTTGTACAGATCAAAATGCAACAAATCAGAGATGAGTAGGAATAGGAAATTACAAATTTTCAAAGGGATAACAAAGTAATGGAATTTTCAAATCCTACTGAGCTGTAATTCAACTAGATCTTAGGAACCCTCTATTGAACCTCTGCTCTCTCAACAAGGCAAGGACAAATTCAATCCCAGGGTCTGAAGAGATGCAGCAAGCTACACCATAGATGGTAAGTGACAGCTAATGTTTGCTTTTTAAGTACAGTAAATAACCCACCGAACAAATCTCAGATCAGACTCTGTGGGTCACCTACATGCAACCTCAATATCATCAAACAACATTTTATGTTACTCTGAACATTAAACATTACCAAAAACAATGACCTTAAGACATAGATGTAACTTTTAAGTAAGGAAAGGAAAATTTTAAATAAAATCTCAATCTCAGTTACCACTATCCTCTAATTTCTTTTGTCTCAGATTACACTACATCACATCATGAATCAGTCTGATACCTGAAATCTTCCAGAAAACATGCAGACATATGGCTAGACATCAACTGCCACTACTTTGCCAATGAAAGTTAAAATATGAGAAAAGGGAAGATTTAGCCAAACTAAATCTAAAATATTCATGGAATGTTATTTTAAACTTTAATTTTCTATGTAAATGTTTCTAATTGAGATACGAAGCAGGTATCTCAGAAAGTCAACAAAGATAACCACTTACTAGCAAACAGTTGCCACAGTGGTACCAACACCTGCTGTCAATCAAGAGCTATTACTATCTTAATGAAGAAAAGTCAACATTACTGAATGTTATCACAGGATCTCTTGCGCTGAAAACCTACACCTTTGTTATAGAACACTTCTGTCTCAAAGGCCTTTCATTCTAACCACCCGTCAATTAATTCAACTAAATTGGGAGCGCACTCCATTTTTTTCCCCAAACTTACTCCTCTACCACCTATTTTATGAAGAGTTTTCTCTTCTGTGTTCTTCAAACAAGAATGGGCTCAGACTATTCTTGTCTGACTTCAAAGACCAATCTGAAGATCCTTGATCTGGTACCTATAGTTCAAGTTGTTCAAGACGGCAGAATTTGTCTTCAGGTATTCTAAGAAACCTGGTGTCTTGTTTCCAAGAATACAATCACATGATAGATGAACGAGCCACAGTGAAAACAGACTGACTCAAGTGAAAAGAGCAACTTGACTTCACCCCAATTTGAAGCTTATGTCTATGTTACAAAGCATAAAAAGCAGTTTCTTGGTAATTTTTACTATTTTCCACCAAATAAATAATATTCTAAGTTGATTTAATATCACAATCAGAGTGCTAAAAGAATATTAATATTACAAATTCATGTACTATAAAAAGGTAAGTTACTCATTAATATTGCAATATAGCTTCTGAACACAAGTGTGAAAACTTCAGTTATATGATCATACATATTTGGAGAATAAGACCCCCAGTCACTGCATGCAATGAATAGTAGATAAGTATGGAGCTGTGCCATCCTCTGAGTCATAATAATTTTCAACAGGTATCTGCATTATATACAAGAAGCTAATGAAATACTGCTTTTTAGACACCATATTAATTTCTTCCTGGCCTTTTAAAAGTATTCTTCTTATTTTTATCATTATTATTATTATTTTGCTCAGTACTACTACTGCAATTAAGACTTTTTTCAATACTGTATATCTTCAAGGTATCAGTGACTTCAGAACAGCTACATCTGATTTCTGCAGTTATAGAAAACTCAGCATTTCTGTGATACAGGTTGTAGATTATAAATAACACACAACTACTGATTTGATAAAAAAAATCTTCTTTAAATTATTTCCCCAGGGTTGCAAAGGGGTGTGGTGTGATTATAAAGTCACAGAACAGTTTCCTATAACTCCTTCATTCCTTAACAATGAACATCCCTTCTCTTCTTGACTGCTTCATTCACTCTTCACTCCAGTCTGTGCAGAAAATGTGACAAAAATATCAGAGACAATGATTGTGCAAGTATTGCCTGTACAATTCCCTGGGCAATATGTAAGAACAGGGTTTTGTGGGCAAAAACCGACAATCATAATGAGAAAAGACCAAGTCTACAAAGTGCATTTGCAGAGGTAATTTAATCCCAGTATTTTCTTATTGATTGACTTCATGATCCTAAAGTGTGCTTTCAACATTGTTTGTTTGTGCAATTCATAACAGGAGAAAGCCTCTCATTTAAACTGCAAGCTCCCACTTATTAGCTATGTTTGATATTCAACAATCAAGGTTCAGATAATGAAAATGCTACATGAGGAAATAAATTTTTGATAATAATCATAAAGGCAGTGTTCCACTGGCAATGACTTGGATAGAAATGCAGTATTAATACAGAGTAATTGAGGATAGAGAGCTTTGAAAGAGTAGGTAATGATCTATCGTTCTTTAGGCTCCTTTACCTAAACATTCCATGTATCCCCGTGTTTACCTCACAACTGTTTAGGTTTAGACTCCTGACCATTCAGCAAGCTAAACTCTGAGTAAGAGAAACACTTGAGGAGCATAAAACCAAAAGCCTTCCTTGATTCAGCTAGTTTGGAGTAATTTATAAAGCAAGGCAAAAAAAAATCATAATTTCTCTGTCCTAGTAAAGACTGTGGATGAACGTTGCAGGGATCAGTCCTTTAGAGCTAGCTAGAGCAACACAACACACAGATAACATTTGAAAAGTAGATTATCTTTTGATAATAATAATTAATAATAATAATAATAATAATAATTCCTTCCTAAAAGAAGGAACTCGTGGGAGGAACAGCATTGCATCTCAAAGGAGCGTAGGATTAAATTTTTTAATAGTCGGTTGCTTTTTCAGCAGTAATAAGAATGAAGCCTGGTCTGATATAATTTACATCTTCAGGTTGATATACATATCAATTCTTTGACTTCTAAAAAGATGCAACTTCACACTAGTCTTTTACCTAGCAAAGGTATCAACATACCATATTTTTCTACACTGGCTTCCACAAAATTTAGAGGAGTATCTTCAGGGTGGCCTGCAATTAATTTGATCAGCCTTTGCCAAAGGCTGCTGGGGGAGAAGGTGCCCTGAAAAAAGAAGTAATCCATCTTATCTCCAAAAGAAATGAGGCTTGTTTTGTGGTCAGACTGAAAAAACAGTTGTGCAGCACTGCTGGAAGCCATGAAGTGTAAGAGAATAAAATATTACAGGACTGATCTTCTAAAGTATCAGAAGCTGCAAAATATCAATGGGATTTATTTTTACCTATAGTTAAAAGTCAAGAATCAGACCACAAAGAGTACAAAGACTCTAAGCTACTTTCAAGACAACTTCGTATGCCAGTAAACCAAACCACTGAGAGGAGAAAGAGCTCAAATATCTCTTGAGAAGGGACTTCTCATGCTTCTCAATATGAGGCATAATAGAGTAGCCTGGGATCAATGACCACACAAATAACTGAATTTAGTATAGATATAAATGGATTCTCAGTGTAAAGCAGTGCTGGAGGTTTCAGATGCCAGGCATGAATATTTAAACAGTTTTTTTAAATTATGTAACAGGAAAAAGTAGCACAGAACATGTCTGAGGACTCTTAAGACTCCATACTTCCTACATTGTCTCCTAAAACCGTATATACTGCTAACACGGGTAAGTAAAAAAAAAAATAGATGGTGAAATGCATTAGAAGTGCACATGGCAGAAGCAAGTAAATATGATCTCCATCACATAAGAACTTCAGAGAAAGAATATCAAAACAAAATATAGTTAGTAGATGAAGAAAGTATACAGAATTATGGACCGAGTATGGAGTATTCCAGTAAGAGTCAACCGTCAAATGATTTAGATTAGACACATTACTAAGTTCTCCTTTTATTAATTAAAAAAAAAACAACCTTGGGAAAAGATAAAGAAAATAGATATAAACTAGTAGCTGAGAAGTAAAAGGAGGTACACATTAATAGACAAAAGAATATCATAGTATCTACATATAAAACATTCCAGGTCATACACAATTATGAAATTGCGGAACAGCGAAAGCAAATCCAAACCACCTTCACAAGCTATTTGTAAAAACTGCTGAAAGATTAACTGGCATCAGAAATATGGATAAATGTAGCATAACTTAGTAATAAGTTATGCAGAAAGGTGACAAACTCCAAATCTGGAAATTATGGAAACTTCCCTGATGTAAAGTTAATGCCACCACCTTGTATACTAAAATCATACTTAGAAGTAAAATTAGACACTGAAAAAACATAAAACGGTGAACTACAAACATTAACATTGATAATCTTACAAGAATAATTCTTGCTAAACAACCTTTTAAAACTGCTATAATATAACTTATTAATAGATAAATGCTTTATGAAAGCCTTTGCTTTCCTTTGCCTGAGCAAATATAACTGTATTTGTACACAGAGACAACACAACTGCATTTTAGTTAAGCACGATACTTCCATCTGCCAGTATCAGACATTGAGAATACCATGATTTCCTTAAAACTGTCCAAAGGACTTATACACAGTGGAAAACATACACCAGAGAAGCTGGAAATAACTATGCTACTCCTACCCGTTTCTACAAAATGGGTTTGCCCCGTTCCTTGGTAACTGTACCATTAGCTACATCAAAAGCATGGACAATTCAGGACAGCGAATTAATGCTTCCTTTTTAAGATTTCCTTAATACATATTATTATGCTCAGACCTCAAGTATTATAAGAGCATCAATAACTGAAATGCATTTGCTGTTGGGTTATATGCATCCAAAAGTCAAGTTATGAATACATATATATATATATATATAACTGTAACTCTTTTCTGGGCAGTCAGCTATATTAGTAATGAAATATCTCTACATTTCCTATATATCATAAGGTCACAAGGATGCTTTACTTTCTTCTGGATTGTAACACAAGTAGACTTGTTGTCACTTTTCCACAGAACTTACAGGAGAAAATAAATAAGCTGTTTCAGGCTAATTATAATTATTAATGCATGAAATACCATTTCTCTAGATAAGCTTAATGCTGAAGTCTTAGTCACATATCCTTTTTCTTTGTGCTGGATTTCACCTGTTGAACTACCAAAATGCAGTTATCTACATCTCTACCCCCTCACTGCATGAGAGAATTTTTAAAGCAATAAATCTGCCCTCATCTACCCCACATGTACTGCAGAATCAGGCAACAGCAACAGAGGAAACAAGAATTGGAGAGGATGACTTTGTAACACTGAACAAAGTGTTAAGAATTTTTATAGATTTTGGGCAGAAACTACCATTATGACTTTTTTCCTGAGAAATGCTGATTCTGCAAACGAGTAAGACTATTTTATTCCACATTTTTTATGTGCAAACCATCCACCCAGTACACTTCAAACTACTTGCTGCAACAGAAGGAAACTCTGTTATTAAAAAAGGCCCCCGGAGCACGAAGGTCAGTCAGATCATTAGCAGACCCTCTGTCCAGAGGAAGGTCACTACTAGTGAATAGATTTCTCCCTTTAGGCCTTTTTCTTACTCCTTATTTTCAGAATCATTTCTCATATTCAACTTGCAGCCATCTGTCTACACATGTGGCATTATAAACGGGGGGAAGAAAGCGTTTATTTTACCTTCACAAGACAGGCCGTGAGAAGTGACTCCAGAGAGGCTCTCTCTACACACGTTACAGAAGGTAGGTCGGGCATGGGAGCAGGCATACCAGTTATGCATCCCTGAGAAATGTTCCACATTAAACTGTGCGGTCTAGTAAAGGAGAAGTTAAGACAAATTTGCAAGTACAGAACACAGCTACAGTGACTGAAATTATGTACTGTTCCATATTACAGGGGACGACAATGCAATGTTCATCAGAAGTATTTTCCAGAGGATATTTAGCCTGCTCTCCCTCCAAAATTCTAAACAAAAGTGAGATAGTAAGCTCTTATTTTGCTAGTGAAGTTCTTAATATGAAGCTTCACTCTGACATTAGACACATTTTTCACACTAAGGAGGGTGAATACTCCAGCTCTGTGTCCTGTAGCTTGATCTGTTGAGCTAGAAGAGATTGCACCAAGAGGGATGTCAGCTTACCTCATAGTGTTCTCTGGACTGAACAGACTTCAGAGAGCTTATCCAGTCCTCCATTTCTTTTCTGTTCTCAGCACACAATATTAGCCTCCTAAATGGAGTGATTATCTGAAAAAGATAACACATACTGATTAATACAGATAGTAAAAATCATGATAGACAATATTTAATGTACACTTTCCTGTGAGACGATGCGAAAGGACGACACACCCTATATCACAAGATATTAAATGCTTCAAAATATTTTCTTTAATGCACCAACAACAACAAAAGGCTTTGCTTTTCCTTTTTCAGTTCCCAAGATTCGAATCAGCCTTTGGTATAGGTCTCTAGACTCTACATTAATCATTCTCCCTTCTCAGCTCTTTGTCTATGCACTGAGATTTAAATACTTGAATGGCAGGCACTGAAACTGCTAAAACAGCCATTCTGGAAATTACTAATTGACTAAGACTGCAATCCTATTTCATAATAGCATTATAGCAACTGTTAGGTCCATTCCACTTGCCAGAGAAAAAATTATATCAAAATCAAAATCCTGGAAGTCTTAAACAACAACAAAAGCTGTCATCATATTTCTCTATCTTGGATATTGATATTAGATTTACACAAATTTATACATACAAAAATCTAAAACAGAACTTTGTATATCAAACTCAGTATAAGAACACATACAAATCTTTATAAAAATACACAGAGAACAAAAGCAAACAGGTGAAATCATATCCTACTAGGATGGTTGAATGAATTCCTGGAACAAGTTGATGCTGGGGATTTTACAGTGGTCTGGAATAGGGTTCTAGAAATCTGAAAATACTGTATCAAGGAAGTTCAAAGTATAAGCTGCTCTCCTCTCTCCCCAAACAGTAGAAAAATAATCAAAATAACAGGAAGGCAGCAGAAACTATCAGCTAACTCCCACTGAAATTATTTTGAGCACTGCACTAAAATAGACAAAGCAGTTACTTACATAGCAAAGAATTTAAAACAAAGTAAGTACAAGAAATTTAAGGAAAGTTATTTGTTTTGTTGCAGGAAGTCTGAAAAATAAAATTAAATCCTGTATCAGTCTTTTGCATAAATCTGTTGCACAGTATGTACCACCAACACCTGCAAAATACTTAAGTAAAACAAAGAAAGGACCACCAAAAAATGATAGCTCTGAATATTCTTTTAAACACTACAGGCTAGACATTGCAACATTTGCACAATATTAGTAAACATTTATCTACAGCTGCATTCACTTACCCAACCTCTGTTGTAAATAGTCTCTAGCCTTGATTTGTCCTATCCACTTCTTCATTAAACTGAACTGCACTTTAACATATCTCAGAGGCGACGTAACTGAAGTGCAGCAAGCTGCAAGTCACATGGAGGGGAGGCAAAAACCCCGTGGGCTTGCTTTTGTTTTTCCTTTTTTTTTTCTTCCTCCTTTTTTTTTTTTTTTTTTGATGTACTCACTTCACATGGAACAGAATAGTTTTCTGGTTTCTGTTTCCTTCAATCTTGCTTAAGCTTTTTAACAAGATTTATTAGTAGCTCTCCATGGCTCTTCCTAAAGAACAGTTTATGCAAAGAGCAATTCTTCTCTCATTAGTTTGGAGCCAAACGGACGCTTTATTACTTCAAAATGTTTTTCTAGGCCAGGTCATCAAATGAAGCCCAGAAAAGTCATTAAATCATAATATAACCCTGGCTCCAACAACAATCGGCATTCTGCTGGAATTTCCAGGTTTCAGTGGATTCAGAAATCTTATTTGTGGAAATACACACCACAGATTATTTGCTATTATATACCATGACATTATAATATGCATTAAGTAATGCTAAGTCCATTCAAGACTCTGCACTTTGTGTCCATCCTTCCACCACAGTCATTATTGATTCCAACCTGTAACCTGATGTTGTGAAATGCCACTAAGCAATAACAGCTGCATTTATTGCTGAAAACTCCTGACTATTTTGATCTTTCAAAGTAATATTTATTTATATTACTCATGTCTTCAATACTACTGGTCACACAAAAGCACTGTGCATCCCTCTACCCTCCCCTCCCAAAATTAAGGCCCTAGTTCAGTTGTTCACACCTAGTAACCTAGGGCCAATAGAGACATCCTTCAGTATTCAAAGTTTTGGCAGGGGACAGGTAAACATGATAGAGAACCAGAACATCTCAAAAGGCACTGCACACCCATGTATTGGCAATCAAATCACATCATCAAATACTGCTAACTAATGCATGTAAACATACCAGAAGTTCCTATATCCCAGCTTCTTATTTAATTCAGAGCACAATAAACTTAATAAAGTTCATAGAATTTCAACAGTCTAAAAGTTACATTTTATATTGGCAATCAGGTGAATGTAGGAGCAATTATTATTTGTTCTACAAAAATACAGAAGGAAGCTGGAAGACATACTTATTTGTAAATATGGCATCTATAACATGACAAAACTACATATTCTCTTTGCTTTACATATTTGTAACAACAAACTTCAAGAAGGTACCTAATAACATGAAAAAAGACAAAATGCATTATGTGCAAGAAGAATCAACAATGCTTGGAATTTTTCTTAAAAAATAAAATAGGAACTAAGAAGTCCATTTAAGTTCTCATCTATTTCAGTTTACAAAATCATGGAGAGGATGTACTCGCATTATTTTTAAGGTATTTCACATAACATAACAACAACTCAGGGAACCAAGGAAATTATTAGCTAACAACAAGAAGTTTTTCCCTAAATGCAAAGCATTATTTAGACTAGAAAAGTATTCCCAAAGGATGCTGAGGAGACCAGAAGTATATATGTCTAAAAAGGTATTTGACAAATTCAATACAAATAGATGCGTCATATACTATAAAAGACAATATCTAAAACCTTCAACTTATCAGGTCCTCAAAATCCAACAATGAGGCAATGTTGGGAAGTTACTCAAGAGGAAGAAGCACTGTATATGCTGTGCTGTTTCTACTCCTTTCTTGACTACCTGCTAGTAGTTATTACTATAATTTATTATATATAAATAATTATAGTACTTTGATTTAATATGGTTTTATGAGCTTTACACTAACTTGGTATTGCTGTTCCTGCTTGTCCTGAACTGAGAATGACTTCCCAAACCTTCTTATTTGCATTTATACAGAAGGCATGCTTTCTTTTGAATGCTTACACAATGCTATGATCAACTAAATTAAGTGGCACGTTTGAAGCGCATTCATTGAAGACAGTCGAACCTGCATACAAACATAATCAAAATTGAATGGATGCAATTATCTCTAAAACTATTTTTCTGCCATGTAAATTTGGATTTTACTAGTAATCTTATCTCATTCCATGTATTCATATTTAAAGTCCTGTGTATTCTCTTCTACAAAGCCAAGTCAGTATCTTTTCCTCAATTACATATTACCTTTTTTAATGCTCTCTGCTCCAAATATTATTATTTATATATCACTCTAAATATGCTAAACTCTAAACAGACAAGAAGAAATTGTATAACACAATGCAAAGGAAGTGTTACAGGAACCACTGGAAGACCACTGATGTAACAAAAAAATAAGAAAACTCCTCAGTCTAATGCTAATGGTTCACATGCTGACAAAGCAGGAGACAAATCAAGAAAGATGAAGACAGTCAAAAGGCCTTAAAATAAATAAATAAATCAGATTTAATTTAGATTATTAAGTTACTTTGAAAATTTTCACCATTGTCAAGTAGCCAAGAAGTCATTCCTGATTTTGGAAAAGAGAGTTACCAAAGGCAAATATTGCAGTATATTGGCAAGTAATGAAACAGAGGTAGTGGGAATAAAACACACTTTTAATGCAGTAGATATTGGGAAAGAGTGAGCATATACAGTCTTGAAAGTTGAAGGCAAATACCACAAGTCCTAAAACATCCCAAGGAATAAAGAAGGTCTGAATAGGAAGAAAAATGACCCACTACTGGAATAACATTCCTGCTCTGTTCAGAAAATTAGGGGTCTTTTTTTGAGTAGGGAATGAAGGAGACAACAAGAGGTCACTGTTCAGTCTGTCACCACATAGGTCTTGCCATAAACTGGGATTTTCACACATGCTACAATAATTTGGCTTCTAAAAATATATACATACTCATATACATATATCTTGAAATTACTTTGACGAAGTTTACACGGTCAAGTGTAAATTGAACAAGTTTAATATCTTCAAAGGAAATAAAATTGCCATCAAATTCAGTGTAATTTTGAAAGCACTTTCTATTTACAATGGGGATAACTTTACCAATAACATTCTATATGTCTTCAGCCGAATGAGTTTAGACTTACGATCTGTAAAATAAAATCATAGAGAGTTCGATTAAAGCCTATTGCCTAATTTTTAATATATTTTGTACTATCAGCAATATGTAAGAAAATACAGTTTTCAAAGATTGGTGGCTCCATTTCTGGTTTCTTTTACCAATTAAAAAATGCAGACACTGTATCTGCTAATCAAGAAAACAATGGTCTACATCTAAGCAGCGACAAAGCAGCTATTGTAAAGCACTCTGCTTCCTGCAACATGATATTTGCATTAAGGCACCTTCAGCTGCTCTGAACTATTATCAGGCATTACACTAATAGCACTTTGTATGGCTGATCTTGAATTAAATTAGTAATGTAGGAACGAACATCACTTAGAATCTGAAAGGGGTGAGGAAATGGTTCCTGTTCTTTGGACAGATACTTTTAAAATATCTTTCTGGAAATAATGAAGAAAGGATGATACAGAGAGAGCATCCCAACTCTCTTCTTAGGGACTGCATTCAATGCCTGGGACACGAACATAACAGATTAAATGCTTTGTAACTTCTCTGTGCTTATAGACATTGGGAGTCAGTACTGGCAAATACTAGGATAACATGTTATGCCTCCTTTGCTTTCTGTCTGCCCCTCCATTCCCCTGCCCTTGTGCAGGTGGGTGCATATGAATATGTCGAGTAAATGCACCTCTACCACAGTGGTGGGAGTAGACTGCTGGGATCATTGATGCTCCCATACCTACCAGAAGTTGTCTGAAAAACCACAGTGCTAACAGTTGGACAGCTTTCTACAGTACTTATAACTTCTTGGATTCCAGATACTA